AGGAGACTTGGGAAGAGGATCTTTGTTGAGTGATTTTGGTCTCACTTGGATAGCCTTGCTAATATTAATGAAAGACAGTTGTAACTTTGCTGTTACTTTGCATGATTAAGAGCAGTGTTTTACACCATCCAAACTAAAACATTAAAACAAGTCATTAGCAAACAGTTTATCCAAGACTAAGACAAGAAAAGACAAAAAGAAACGGGAACATGAAATATGCCTTGTAGCAAATCCTGGAACAGGTTTTGCAGGCCACAGTGCAGATATTTCAAATGTGTCAAAAGCAGCCTGACATTTCTTTAAGTCAAAAGAAAAAAGAAATGGCCATTGTGGGAATCGAGCTGCAACACTCACCTCTTCATCACCCTGATGTACAGCAGAAGGCTGAGGCTTATTTACTGGAAACTTGAACTGAAATTGGTGACCTGTGTGTACCTTATTGATGCTTTGCATCTCCCACAGGAATTAGAACACCAAATTTCCCAACACAACTCACTGCTCTGTGCAATACTGAAGAGAAGTTTTAACAGGAGCCTAACCTAGACCTCCTCCTATAGCATGCCATGAAACTGCTGGGACTTGGGGTGGTGACTGGATTGGTCCCCAGTTCCTGACCAGTTGTGTCCTGGCTGGTTAAAGTGAGCAAAAGGCTGTGGAGGAGGTAAGGGAAGGATGTGCACCAGCAGGAGCTGAGTATCTGCAGAATCCTCCTTTTTGGGGGAGAATTGTGCAGAAAAGCAGAGGCCAAGACCCAGGCATCCCTGTGTTAAACTGAAGTAATGGAGCGGGGGGACATGCTGCTGGTTTGGTCCATGGAGGTTCCCTGGGTGCTGCCAGTTCCAGCCCCTCGCTGCGGCTTCGGACAGAGCTGGCACAGGCAGCCCTCCTTCTTCCTGTCCCCGGCTGCTCTTCCCTTCGGGCGAGGCTGTGGAGACTTGCCCCAGTTCCGGGCATGGCTGTCCCTGAGGGGTCTGGGCAGGCGGCTGCGTCTCTCTCACCCAGGTCTCTACACCGCCACAGTAGAAGCCCTGGCGCGGGCCGGGGCTACAGCCCCGCATCCCATCCAATGGCTCCGTCCGGCTCCTCCGCGGGGCGGGGGGGTTTCGAACCCCGGTGTGCGCGTCCCGTCTCTTCTCGCCCGGCAGGGGGCGGCAGCAGACAGGCCCAGCTCCAGCAGCGCGCCAGGTCAGGCCGGGTGAGGAGCGGGGACGGGGATGGGGATGGGGATGGGGATGGAGGCAGCGGCTTGTGGAGCTGCAGCTGGTTGGGCAAGTGCCGGCGGAGGGCCGGATCCTGGTGTCTCCCGTCCTCGCCCGCCACACGGGGTCCTCCCGGACAGTTCCCGAGCACCGGCCGAGGCTCTCGAGGGGCACTGGCGAGGGGTTCGGGCTCAGCCCCGAAAGTCAGTTGAAGGTGTTTGTGGAAGCCGGGACCCGGCTCCTGAGGCCGGTTTTGGGAGTCTGCAGCACGGAGCGGATCGGGCGTTTCCCAGGCTGGAAAACGAAGCGTAAATCGTTCGGGTTTGGGGCTGGGAAATGGGCTCTTGGGGCTAGGCTGGGGGTTGGAGCAGAGACAGAGTCCTGTGTATTTGGTCTTGGAAACAGTCGGCTGCGTCTGGTGTCAAACCAGGGGGCAGGTTGGGAACTGGTTCATGGGAGTTGGAGGGCATCCGGGGCTAGGCAGGGAGTGTGGACCTTGCTGGAGAAAGGGGTCTGGTCGTGTTGGTCGCTGAAGGTTGGGAGGCTGGCCTGCACCAGCCTGAACTCAGCATCTGAGACAGATGATAGATGATAGATAGATAGATAGATAGATAGATAGATAGATAGATAAGAGATAGTCTCTGGGGGAAGAGACACTTTTAACACCCTCTTCTTGTCCAACTCTTTATTCAAGGTATGTACAACAGGCAGAATAGTCATTAACTCATTAGTCCATATTTAGACAATGTACAATTATGAGAGTTCATATTAATGTGTAAAAGTTCTGACAGTGATTGATTTCCAACCTTGTGAAAAGCCATGATCATTTGAACAAGCAGAAATTAACTGAACCGGTGCTGAAATGAACTAAAGAGGGGCTGTGAACAAACTTGAGCTGAAATCAAGTGGAGCCATCTGTGAGCTGGACCTGAACAGGACCAGAGCAGAAACAAATGGGAGCTGTCCATAAGGTGGACGCAAAGCTGAACTGGAGCAGAAATGAGCTGCAACCATCCGTGAAGTACGGCTGTCCATGAGCTGGACCTGCAAACAAACTGGAGCCCAAACTAAACTGGAACCATCCACGAGCAAAACAAATAGAGGCTGAAACAGCTGACTTGAAGCTGCAGAGTAGTGTCTCCAGGCATTCAGAGCTGGTCTGTCCCCAGCCATGTGCAGTGTAAGCATTCTTCATGGGGGATCCACACCCCATGCGTGTCTCTTGGGCACAAGAGCCTCCCAGTGTGGCTGGGGCTCTTACTATCTGTCCATATCTGCCCAGGCTGAGACATGGCAAAATCAGAACTCCCTGTGGCAGCAGGAGCTGCTGCCCCTGCAAACCCCACTGTCTGCAGCCACAGGCAGCTCCTCTCAATCCCTCAATGACTTTCAGCAGCACTTCCCTGGTGCCACGCACCCATGATTGGCGAGGAGGGAACAATGGATCCGGGACACCATAAATATCCCATTTCTTTCTGGGAGAGCAGATGAGAGTCAGGATCTGGCTTAAAACCAACTCCCCCGGCCATCGGAGGAGGTCACCTCGGTGGGCACTGATCCCGTAGTCCTCATCTCCTGAACTACTGCAGTGGCACCTGCCGTGACCCACTGGTGCTGCCCTGCTGGCACTATGACCCCTCTTTACTTCCAAAGGGCTCTGCAAGGGAGCCCTGCAAACAGACGGTACCTGACCTCCCTGAAGGGGCTACGGCGGTGCCCCCGCTCCCACACCGGAGCCAGTGAATGGGAGAGAACGGGTGGTGCCTCGAGGCCAAACGGGACACGGCGTCGCCGGCGGTTCCCACCTGCTGGCTGCAACTGCCCCTGCACCGGGGTCCTGGCGCGCCGGAGGAGTGCCGGGACATGGGACACCCGGGCCCGGCACGCCTGCAGCCGGGGTCCAGCACAACAGCACCCTTTTCCCGGCTCACAGCACGCCCGGGGTGGAGGGAGGCGGCGGCGGCACCGGCAGCAGCAGCGGAGAGGACCGAACCCCAGCATTGCCCCGGTGCCAGACCCGCACATCGCTCCTATGGCGTCGGCGCCACGTGGCATCCGCGATGAGCACTCGCCTTACTGAAGCCTCAGCTCCGCACAGTGGCGCCGCCTCGTTGCCAGGGAGCGCGGCATCATGAGAACACCTGTGGGAGTGGGACAGATGGCGAGATAGGAAGGGGAATTAAGAGACTTAAAGAAGCCTTCCAAAGTCTTTGCAAAGACATCACTGGCCTGGTTTTGGCTGTGATAGAGTTATTTTTCTTCTTAGTAGCTGGTGCAGTGCTATGTTTTGGCTTTAGTCTGAGAATAATGCTGATAGCGCACTGATGTTTTAGCTGTTGCTAAGTCTAGTGCATTCTTGTGCTACCAATGTTAATTACTACTAACAGTGAGCAGTGGGGATAAAACCTATCTCAAGCACTTTCCACACTAAGCAATAAGCCTTAAGTAAAACAATCTGTGAGATCCTTTAGCTAAACCCATAATCCTGCTCTACCCTGGATGAAACACAGTGAGAATCTTGCCTTGATATCTGGGATGTAAACTAAGCAATGCTTTTTTATAGTACGGACTTGCTCAGCTGGTCAGGATAAAGCACGGCTTCTGCCTGGCTATAGGGAGCTGGTGTTTTGTGGGATGTATAAAGACAAAAGGCAGTCTCACAGAAAACTTGGGGTTTACCAGCTCCCTCCATTGCCAGAAAGCCTCTGAGCAAGGGATGCTCTAGCATCATCTATCTGCTGGTTCTACCTGAGGGCTTTGCTTTGTACCATTTTCCTGTTCCTCTTGTACCCTCTTGTCTTTTCCTCTCTGTAAAAGTAAGTCCCATGTAACACAGATAAGGAAACCCACCTGCAGCCACCATGACCAAATGACCACCCTCATCCACACTTACATCCCTTGAGGAAGAAGCATCCAGCATTGCTTCCAGGCAATGCAGACGTACCCAAAAATATTGCAGCAGACAGTGCAGTGGTGGAAGAAGATGGGGTGAATAGGGCTGGAAGTCACAAAACCTCCTCAGTATTTCCCAGTTGTGCAGGGATTGCTCCAGTGTGAATGCAAATGCTGCTAATGCCTTCTCCTCCAGAGCTGACATTTCCTGAGCAGAGCTCTCTTCTTTGACCTCCTTCTGTAAATATTGACATTGCATTCACATGGATAATAGATTTCTGTCTGCTTTTACTGCAGCCAAATGTTTCCACTGAGACTCTTATTACTTCTTATGGCTGGAAATGCACCTGCACCAGATGTGAGGTTCAGCATAAAACCCCTGCCAGCCCAAATCCCCAGGTCTCTGAACAGACTACTGCTGCCTCATCACTGCAAAGCCCCCATTCATCTTTAGATAGGGTGAAGAAATAATAGTCTCCTGAACATTCCTCTTCTTTGCGAAAAAAGAAAAAACCTCGCATTTGCCTGCCTTCTCCTTAAATTACTTCCTCTCTCCACAGCACATGCTCCCAAAGCAAGTATCCAGCCTGAAAAGCTACTTGCCCACCACACACAGCCCACACAGTCTCCTGAAATAAACCCATGAGCTTCCCAAAGGAGGAATAACCTGAGGTTTTGGTTTTCCAGTAGTAAACTGACTGTTCGTAGCTATTTCTCCCCAGAATGAAATCCTCCACCCATCACCCAGGGGTGAGCCCCAGCACTTGCTCCTGTGCTTTGCCTCCAGCAAAGCTTTGCTGCAAAGCATTGTGCTCCACTTTCTGCTCAGTGCAGTCTCTCTTACCATGCCAAATAGCCTCCTTTAAAAGCAAAATGGCTTGGTGATGCTTCTTAAGCCTTCCTTTTTGCCAGCTCTTGGAGGGTTGCTCCAGGCAGGGCTTCAGAGAGCCAGTGCTGACCAGCATGCAAGAACTGAGTGGTCCACATGGTAAACAGTAAGCACCTAGGAGATGGTTTTGCACAAATGCCTGGGTTTACCAGTTGCCTCAGCACCTTTGCTGTCATATACAGCCATTTTTCCTGCTCTCTCCTGCTGCCTGAAAGGTGCTGGAGGAAGGCAAGCTGTTGCCTCACCAGTATGCATGAGCCACTGCTTGTCCTGCAGTTCTGGGGAGCTGCAGCTTGACTTTTTAAAGATACTTTAATATTCTCCGATGGCCAGATTATATTCTCCAAGTCCGGATCACGCAGCATCAACTCACGCCCTTTGCATACACCACTTGGCCTGCAGCCGCAAAGAAAAGGCTCTTTAAGAAAGAGAGTCTGAAGTACTCCCTAAACTCATCCTTTGCCTTTCACAGGGGCACACAACAGGCTCATGAGGATTTTGGTGTTTAAGGTGAATGCAGCTGTGTGAACAAGGTGATTCTTCCTGCTTTCCCTTGCTCCAAGCTTCTGTGCAGAACATGTTATGGGGGTGCCAGGAGTATCCCTCCCTTGTGGGCAGCTCTGGCTCCATGCAGAGAAATAATCAGTCCCTCTTTTTTTAAGACATCTGGCATGCACTGAGCAGGAAAAATATGGCAAGCTGGAATTTCTTTCATAGGGAGAAGCAGACCACGCTATTTGGGCCAAATCTAAAGTTTCTCCCTTACAATTTTTGCATATGAATGGGAATTCAGGCTTGGTCCCCAGCGGGCCCATCATTATATGTATTAACAGGCAGCTGGGCTTTAGAAAAAAGGGGAAAGCAGAAAGAAAATAGATGTTTATTCTGTGCTTAGGCAAATTCGCAGGAGACGAATCATCTCCCATTCTCGCCAGACAAACACTTTGCTCTCTATAGGCTCTGAATGCATTCACTCATCAAGGCATATTGGGTAACTGCTTATTAGCACAAGTTCAGCTCCCTTTGTGCATCCCTCAGCTACACGCTCAAATTTAAGCCCTCACTATGGCAGGCCTGGTGAGATTATTTTCCTTTCCCTTTCTTGAAGGAAGCACAGGATTACACTGCTAGAGCTTTAACTTTGATTTGATAACGAGTCTTTGTATATATATGTGTATATATCAGAATATCTGTATATAAAATATTTATATCTGTATATACAGATATATATGTGTATTTTAATATATTTTTTATAATTTGTATATTTTTTCATATACATATATTTTAAATATTCTCATATATTTTTACAACCTCCCTCAACACGGTCAGTTGTTAAACCTGAGGAGGTTGCAGTGCCCTATGGTAAACATTCCCAGGGAATATAAAAGGGCTTTGCCATGGGTCAGCCTCAAATGAAGCTAAAATCAAATCACAGGGCTAGGGGAACCAAAGAAATGCCATTTTCCATTTGACTCCTGATTTATTAGCTCCTACAAACCCACTGCTTTCCCAGTGGGATGTTTCTGCAGTTACACTGCAGAAACAAGGCAACCATCCTTTTCATCTTTCCTTTAGAAAACAAGACACCTCTTCTCCTTGAATAGGCAAATAATATCATCAAAAAATAATGTACATTGAGAAAACCATCCCCTGCCATCACTGGGGACCAGATGCCTGTACACCACCATTGCTTATGGAGGCATTTCAGCTCACTGCTTAGCTTCCTGGCATTTTTCTCCAAGAAAACAGACCTTTTGCTTTTTTTGTTTGTTTTTCTTTGTCAGAGTTTTTTATTGATTGATTGATTGGTCTCAAGGGAAGCCCAGTTTCAAAGGGAGCCATGCTACATTGTACAGCCTCCCACTGCAGCACCATGGCTGCACAGGGGAGGGCTACCACCTGGTACCAAAACTCAGGTACACTCAGGCTTTCCAAATTTTGAGGGATGGAGGGGTCACCAGGAAAATTAGCTGGGTTTTTTTAGTCTTATTTTTACACCCAAATCTACTCCAAGCCATAAGGTTTTATCTATTTTTTTCCCCTTTTCAGTGCTTACCTAGCAGCTTGCAAAACCCTGTGGCCTGTAAATTCCTCCCTCCCATCACAAATCCCAGTGGCAACACCCACAAAGGCACCTGCAATAAGCTGGGTTTTTTGAAAGGAAAGGTCTGGCTTTAGACTAGGATGCAATGCCAAGAGAAGCCCCAGAATCCCTGGGTGGTACCAGGGGTATCAGCCACTCATTACAGGCATTGCTACTGTTGTTAGAGAAGCTGGATGCTTATCGGCTATGGCCATAAGGATCACAAGAGCCTGGATAATAAACTAGCAAGATGTAGGGCTCTTTTTTCTGTCCCTGTACCTACTGTGGCTAAAGTCTGTATCTGAATGCACTCTCTTGCCATAATTTATTTCTCCATTACATTTCTGACCCAGGCCTGGCTTTTCAGATATTGCTGTCAGCCTTTTGCCATTCTGATTAGGCTAACAGCAGCACCTGAATGCTAATTGCCTTCCCTGACAAAGAAGTCACCCACTTCCAGGGCATTAGGGAGGAATGGATAACACATGAAGGCTTTACCCCTGCCTGAATCCCCCCTTCAGGATGCGAAGTGTGGGGACCAAGGGTTTGATGTCTCTCCAGCTGCTGCATAAAATTGGAGGGCAGTGCAATGACCCACAGCTCTTAGTTAGATCTGGGGGAAGGATGAAGCTATCGCAGGGTTGTTTTCTGTGCCCTGAAGGAACTATCCTCATTGATTTGGGATGCTGCACGCCCATTACTGCCCTTCCCACAAGCATCCAAAGTTTTCCTGTACTACAGCCACCAGCTTTTTGCCACACAGAAGACTTACAATTTTATTATTTTATTTCATTATTTTATTTTATTTATTTTATTATTTTTGTTTTCTGCTGGAAAGGTGTAATTGCTGGTGCAAGAAGACCTACAATTTTGGCTATGCAGCCAAAACCCACCCCTTCTCAGCCTGATCACTCCTGGGCTGTTTGCTGCCAATCACCATATCACCTGGTGTTTCTGCACATGTATGCATATATATTCCTCCTTCCCTCCCCATCTGCACACATACATCTCCTTTCCCTTCCTCCTACATTATTTGGGTCCAACCATAGATTTTATTCCATCTGAAATATATTGGAAAGTCCAGTGGTCCTGAGCTCCTACACGTCTCGTGGAAAGACACTGCAGGAAGCCACTTTGTCAGCATTTTTCCCACCAGATGGGAGAGGTTGTTGCCTATCTTCTTTTTTAAATGAACATATCATTTCCCTATCTTCTTTTTTTTTCCATTGAAATATCATTTTTACCTTGCATGCCCTTTTGCTCAGCAGCTCCACACTCTTGAGGAGTAAATGATTAAACTTTGGAGCCTGGAGTTTTGTGTTTAAATGTCAAGCTTGAAACACAGCAGCTCAGAAGAGAAATCGATAGGATTTCAATTTTCTTGTAATAAATATGGCCTTTATTGGGAGCAAACCAAGAAAATAGCTGGCAGCCTGTCTCACAGTTTTGCTGCTTTTTTTTTCAGCTCAGAAGATTTTCCTTTTGGTTTCAAAGTTAAAAAAAATAAGCTTTGAGAGAAATGTCATCTTCACCAACACAAACACATCCATTGGCTGCTTACGGGGAAGCTTAAAGAGTTTTGTGGTCAAAAAAATCTTGGTTAGAGCTGCTAATAGGTCATCAAAGCATCACATCACCATAGAAAATAATCTTCTTTCTTTTATTATACTTTATTTGCTGAATATTGCTAATACTGAACTACAAATAGCAGGGCTGACCCCAGCTGGAGGTGAGGGAATGATGGGGTAAGAAAGTCATCTATATGTGGACACCTTGTTCTCCTCCATGGCTTCCTCATAAGCCTTTCCAGGAGGAAAATAACAGCCATACATTAACGGGTTATCACAGCTCACTGTAATGCAGGGGTCTGCAGCCATCAAACCCCCGTGAGTCCCAAAGGACTTGTCCCAAATGCTCCAACTGGAAGTCTTGTTATAGAGGCAATCAATCAGTATCTTCAGTGAGCATCACCCTTCCCTGAGTTTCTCTGAGGCTTTTTCCCCAGAGGCCTTCTGGTGTGCAGTAACTGCAAGCACACCCTGGTTTGCTCTTGGGGGTGCAGTGAGCCTTCTGCTGGCCATGCTGCTCTGGCTCCCGTTTCCTACCCTCTATCATCACAGGATTGCTTCCTTGCTAACCATCTTTGCCCACATGAGGTCTGAGCTATGGCAGCAAAAGAATAATTGAAAATGCACACTTGGAAGCACACATGCCCTGCTGAGGGAACTGCCACCTTTGTAGCTGTGTCCCCACTGCAGCCCTGTGCTGAGTTTTCCAGAGTAGCCCTTTTTTCCCAACTTACTCTGCTTTAGTTTTTTCTGCAGTGCCTTGATGTTGGCTCACTTTCTGCACTGGCCTGTCTGCTGGTGCAGTGGCTTGTCCTAGAAGCTCCCTTAGTCTCATACTGCAGTGGAAGCATTGTGTAAGAGGTAGACTCTCCCATCCCACCCATCCATTTTACCAAGCAGGTACAGTGTATGCCCTTCTCCACTCCTCGAAGTCCAGCTCCCTCCTCATGTTGGCAAAAATGAATCACTCTTGGATCAGGTTGTGCTGTTTCTGCTGCTTCTTAATGTACTGGAGGGTGACTTTCAACAGGCCCTGTTGACTTGAATAAATCTATCTCATTCTTTCATCTCTTCTGCTCGCTGGTCCCTTTCTTTGTGGAAGTATCCAGTCACAGTTTATGCATTCCATGCTATTTATGCAGTGCAGCCCATGAAAAATACATGAACAGTCCCTTGCTCTTTCTCCCCACGGCTTCATAAATCTTGCATCACTTTCTGCATGGCAGCTCAGCTTCACCGGGTGATGGGGAGCAGCCTCCCCACTGCTCCTGCCCCAGAGCTGCAGCATCCTATGGGGATGCTGGCACTATAGGCTCAAATCCTGTCGGGCTAACAGAGAAGGGGAGTGTTCAGAGCCCTCTGAGCCCTGTTTTTAGGTTATTGGACAAAAAAATAAGACAGAGGTGCTAGTTCACTGCCTTGCAGTGTCTCCAGCACAGCAGGGGGGTGGGTGTGTGTGTGGGGGGGGGTGTCATCTTACTTTGCAGTTTGTTTTGGATTTACTGAAAACCAGAGTGATGCAGAGAATAATTCCCTTCCTCACAGCCTGTTAAGCATCCTTGAGAGATAGCATATGTGACTGGAGATAAAGCCTTCTATTTACTGCAGGGACCAGCTGGAGACTGTGTAGAAGCACACCCAAAATGTAAGCAAGTCAGGCACATGCTTTAGGACCCACTTTGCATGTAAAGCACCTTACCCTTCTGAGCAGGTATGTTTATTACTCTGTGGCCACAAAGTACAAGTGCCTCTTCTCACACTGAGCCCAGTGGCAGAAAATACTAAGCAAACCCTGATTTGAGAGTTCTGTAAGACTGGTCCCAAACCAAGATGGGCACAAAGGCTCAAAGAAATTGCCTAATTCCTTAGTTCTCACTTAAAATGGAACATTATGGAAGAAGTTTGCATCCAGCTTTCATTTTTACTTTCCTTTTTTTTCTTCTTTGCATTGAAGCTGCTAGCAGTGGTGAACCTTCCTATTTTCCCTGCGAGGTCAGCCTCAGCTCTCCGATGCCTCCCCAAAATAATAAAGCTATTTTGCTTGCAGCCCCTTTAAAGAAGTTTCCCCATTTTTGTGTTTTTTTCTTAGCAGGCTCTCTGCCTCCATGAATGATGCTGCTCACATGAGGTGAGTTTTTCCCCATTCTCAAAGTCCCTCTGATCCTCCCAACGTCTGTCGCTATCGTGGTCCAGCAGCAGATAACCCTGGGCTGAATAAGAAAACATTGCATGGGGACTGCCACATCAATCCAGAGAAAATTTATCCAAGTTGCTGACAACCTCAGTTTGCTAACCCAATTGACCTTATGCTCCCTTTAATATATAAAGCAGCATTCCCCTGGTGTCCCAGCCTACCATGCCTTTCCTGGCCACGGTATGAGTGTACCACCCATTGTCAGCCGTGGTTTCCCAAGATGTTGGGAGAACCAGCATCCTAATCCGCAGCTCTTCCATTTGTTCTCCAGCAGCAGTCATCATGCAGGAGCCAGAAGATGCTGGCTGCCCATCACCACCTCTCTTAGACCTTTCCCATGCTGATCTTTTACATCTTGCCCCTCAGCCTTTCCCAGCCACGGCTTTTCTCACTGCTCTTTAAGGCTAGGCCATGCCCCTTTGCAGCATGAGGTTGCCTGAAATCCATGGGGCAGGGGAGGAAGGGCGTTGGGGAATGTTGTGATGGGTGTTCTGGCCAGCCATGGGTCGGCTGGGGTCCCTCCCCCAAAAAAATCAGAGAAAAGCAGTTCTTGGAGGAGGGAAATCACAAAACCATGGTATTTCTGCAGGACAGAAGAACGGTGTAGCCAGCAACTGTTCTGAGTCTTGATTGGCTTCGTGGTTACTTTGCCTCACAAGCCAGACTAAAAGGATTCCCTTCCCCCCAAAAATAAAAACACAGGAAAGAGGGAACAGCTTGTAACAAGGTAGGATGGCTTCACGTAGGGTCTACGCATCTTCATTGTCCCAGAGGCCCCTCTCTTCCCTAGGGACCACAAGATTAGCACCAAGTCTGTGTTTAGGAGAGAAAAAAATAGAATTTATTTCCTTTCCAAGGGGAAAATCATGACGCTCTGCGAACAGCAAAGGAGCACGCGTGCGTGTGATCCACAACTGAATGTCACTGTTAGTCAAAGTTTTTTATTTTTATGAAAAAATAGAAAATTTCATCTCTTACACTACAAAAAAAAAAAAACAACATGTACACAAACAAAATGCACAGAGAGCATCCAAGGAGGTGGGGGAGTGGGAAGGAGAGGAATAAATACAGCAATGCTAGTCTCCTATGAGTTAACACGCTGATGCGAGGAGACGAGACGAAAGCTGTGGCTCCGGCAGCGCTGGATGCACCAGCTCCCACCTTACCTGCCCTAAGGAATTACAATAAAGGATTGGAAACTAAGCGTCACTCCTAAGACTGCTACAGATGTATGTTACATACGCCTTAACAACTAATTTCAAGACCACAGCAGTCCAAGGAGTTACAATTTTTTGACCACTGGGACTTTCTACATTATATTCAACACTGAACAGACAAAAAAAAAAAAAGAAAAAGAAAATTGCCTTCATTTTTTTGTTCTTCTCACCATTAGCATAGAGAAGGAATAAATAAAATTTTTAAAGTATTTATTTTTTCTTTTAAATCAGTCTTATTTTTTATGCTCAGGTAATTTTTCCAAATGGTAGCTACACAATGAAAGGGAGTTAGTCTACACAAGCCATGCTTGGGGACACTTCCTTCTCCCCAGAGGATAAACTACATTGAAAAGAGCCTTTTCACGTCCCAGATCCTTTGAAATACCTTCCTTACAATTAGCAGCAAAATATACTGTGAAAAAAGCACCCACTGGACCAGCCACAGCAAGATGGGAAAGAGCTTGGACCCACTGTAGGCAGGAAACCCACCTAAAGCCTTTACAAAGAGCATAACAAGTAAAATATTACTGTCATCTCATTCTGCTGCACACCATTATATATACAACCATGCCCAAAACACCAACTACTTCGGTTCTTGGAAGGGAACCGAAAGACTCCACTGTCTCTGGTATTTGCTTGTGGACATACAAGCTGTAAATTTTGGACCCTACTCCTTAAATTACCATTTTATTTTACTTTTAGCTCCAAGACAAAGCCTATTATACATGAATCTGTGGCAAGAACAGCTCTTGAAATAAATAGAAAAGATTATTTATTTATTTAAGTAACCGAGGTGTCCTATTTACAAACGCAGTCTGGCTTAAGGACAGTTTGTTTTCCACTAATTCATAATCTTGAATGTTCCTCCAGCATCTGATGTACATCCCAGCCATATCACATATGCCTTTAAAACTCCACGAATGGTGAAAAGGGAATTTTGCTGTTAAAAGATCATGAAAAAAAGACCAAACCCAACTCCCACAGAGCCAACAGGTAAGGAACAAGCAGAGAACAATTCCTCCCAATGAAATAAGTTGTTTCTGCCTTCCTACGGATTATTTTCCCAAGCGCTGCAGGCAGGGAGGCACAAATAATCCCAAGACTGTTCTGCTGACAGCTCTAATAACCTATTATATGACAAATCTCTTTCTGTGCCGAAACTGTTATGTCTTGATTCCCCCTCCTCTTTTGTGGTCCAGTGGCTGCCAAAATGAAACAACAGGATGAGAAATCACACTATCAAGATTTGTCAGACCTTCCTGCGGCTCCTTTCTCTCCTATTTCTCCAGATTCTTGAGTACTTCAGCAGCAGCTCACAGAAGGAGGAGGAGGCCATTTCAGAACAGGCAAATACTGCCTGAAGAAGCCCTGCTGAAAGCAAGTAAAGCCCTGGTGCTAAAAAAAAAGGCCACCTAACCCTCTCCTCCTAGACCTTTCTCTTTTCTTTAGAAAGTGTGCTTTGTATCAAATCTCATCTGAAGACTTGGGGGAACTGGGAGAAAGACCTCTGAAACAGTTGAAGGTGGCATTCAAAACCTGCTCCTGCAAGACGTGAAGGGACACAGGCCTCCTTTCAGCACTGTATGAGTTCTTTGGGCCTGAAGGGAGCTGGGCATGAAGGGAGCTGTAGCAAGTCAGTATGTCAATGTTATCACCAAGGAAGTATGCTACAAGATGCTACCCAAGCTCTAAGGAAGCAGTTTATTTACAGAAACAGCAAACACTTGCCATCCACTGATCCACTTTTAAATCCTTATCTTTACCGAAGCCTTCACAAAAAAAAAAAAACCACCAACCTATGAACTGCAAATTGACTGTACTGATTTGTGAATCCTATGTGCAACAAAAGGAGAAGGACAGCCCCAAACTGTTTCTTGGTGGGATTCCCAGGTGATGAGGTTGAAAACAGCTCAACCTGAAAACAGCAGCCATGAGCTTTAGTGGACACATTGAACCCCAACTACAAGGAAGTGCTGAGCTGAGCTATACCAGCCCTAGACAGATGGTACCTTCTCACCCATGGGATACCACTGCTGTCATAATGTTGTGCTGTTCTGTTCTTCCCTCCTCTCTGTGCTCTGCCCCAAAGTGGACAGGTCCATACCCAAAATCAAAATGCCCAGACAACTTAAGACAGCACAGTTCCCAAAATAACCCCACTACAACCACCCCACCAGCACTTTGCGGGAAGTACTGCAAAATCTCCATGCTGGATGACCACAGTATCACCTCCACACTCCGCCCCAAGACTTAATCCCCTTCATGAGAAGAGGCACAGCAAAATCCCTTCCTTCCAGCTCAAACCATGTCATGGCTTCCCTTCTGGGCTCCAGTGACAAGTGTGAGGGCTGCACAGGGTGATGGCTGCCAGTTTGAAATGCTGGTGTGGAGGCAGTCACACAGTATCTTGGGTAGGACTCATACACACAAAAACCAATCCCATGCTGTTGCTGGAGGCCACTGAGAAGCATTTTACTTTTCTTCTTCTGGACATTCCCAGTCCATGGTGGAAAGAAAGAGGGGAGGACATCTTTTATTTATGCAGACTCCTTCTACCTCATGTATGCCGTCAAAACTCCTGAAGGCTTTATATGTTGCTCAAACCAAACAGCAGCAAAAATACAAAGCATAGTGTTAACACAAAAGGGAGCCAAAGCAAAGCGAGAGGGAAGAAAAGTACAAACCAAGGAAAGATCCCAATTTTGTACCTGATGCGTAGCAAACTGTACAGTATATACATCTTCATCATGTATTATCCTCCCAGAAGAGCAAACAAAAAGAGCTTGATAACACAGAGGGAGGGAAAAAAATATACACCCTGTATTGTATTTAGCATGGAGCAAGCAACATGTTTATACACTAGTATCTATAACTTAATGCTGTGTAACAGCATTATTTTTCCATTTCTTTCAATTTACAAACAAAATATCTATTGAGAAATAATCTAATCATATTGCTCTTCAATACACTTCTGTAGACAAGTAAGACTTGAAGTGAAACTTCAGCAAACCTCAGCTTTTGGGAGCCCACAAATGGCTAGGAAACTCCTCTGCTCAAGTCAGTCCTTGGAAGCATTACCATGTGCTGCTGTAATTAAGTATAGAAAGGTGCTATATATATCTCTGTATCTCCCATGTACAGACAACGTGTGGTGGGAAGGCTTGCTGTAGTCATCACTGAAGCTTAAGAGATGGGTTAACCTCATGTACAGCAAATTTGTTTCCATGTCCCATGCATCTTACATTTACTTCATGAAAATGAGGACACAAATAGGAAGAAAAGGAAAACTTCAGTCAAAACACTGCTTTAGAAGCGCTGCAGCAGAGGCCAATATCCTTCAGTTTCAGAAACCACTGAATTTCCCTTTTTATCTTTTTTTTTTTTTTTTTTAGTCAAAATAAATCTCAGGGCTAGTGTACAAAGTGCAGGACCAACCCACTTGAGGAAGCAACTTTAAAACCGAGTTACAACGGCACCATTCCATTCACCAACTGGACCTTCATCTCTTGAAGGCTGTTCATTATCTTCTTCTGGTGACCAACAAGTGTCACTCCCAGCCGCCTCAAATCCCTGTGGGAGAAAGCAGACGTTGGTTCCAGGGGCCTCTCAGGTACACGCCGCCACGCACACCACACACCGCATGCGCCGATGCTGCTGTCAGCGCCTACTTCTTACCATTGGCAGCTCCTGAAGCTGAGTTTGGTTGGCAAGTTTAGTTTTCACTATTTCTTTTTTTAATTATTATTATTTTGAATGGTATCTCAGAAAGGTGACAGAATTTGACTGAGATCGCCTTGCTGGCCAAGAAGAAAAGCTGGACAGCAAAATGCCAGCACCACTTTTAGCCAAGGAGTCTGCTAGGTATGAAAAGTCCTATTTTCAACAGAAAAGCTATGTAAGAAAGCCTGTGTTGCAGTTTCCTCTTCTTGGAAAGGCTGGTATTTCATCTTGGATACAAGCAGTGAGGAGTGAGGTCAATCCATCCTTCCTTCCTCTTCCGAAGAGGCAAAGTCAAAGATACACAAACCACAATCCTAGAGCTAACTGCTACAGAGAGCTGAAAGGCAAAAGCCTCTGGAAGAGCCACTAGCCCAACAACCCTCTAAAGTCAACATGAACTGGCAATGCAGCTCCCCTCTGAGCCTTTGCACATCTTCCCATAAGCATATGTTATTTTGGTGGGGGGGCAAATGCCAAAGGCATTTGTATTGAATCTGTCTACTGGGCAGCCATTACAGAAAAGCTGTAATATGAGACAGTTTATGCGAAAATCAGGATTAGGAGGAAAGATTGTTTTCTCAGAAGCTCAGCCCTCTAAAATTTAGGTGTAAAGATGAAGAGAATCACCAAGGTTCACGTTGATGGCATGGAAGAGGCACCTCCAGGCAACAATTTATCCCATCCAAAGACAGAGGTATGACAAATTGTCCCCTGGAGATACTACAGCAGGACACTGGGTGATCAGAGACAATGACACACCTAAAGCCAGGTAAGGCCATGGGTTATGGTAGAGTATAGCTGTAGGGATTTCTTTCTCCGGGGGAAAAGTGTTAACAAAGAAATTGTAATAATAATATCTCAGAAGTAACAACAGGACAGGTCCATGTGTTTCCAGCACAAGACACAGAGACTGTTAGAGAAGAAGTTTGTCTTAGAGGAGACATGGTATTTTGTCTTAAGACTTTCACTAGAAAAATATCAGCCCCTTGCTTTCTACCTCCATGTTGGACTGAATAAAGGGTGTTTTTGAAGTAGAGCTCTACAATTTTTGTAATACACACATGAACCCCAGAGCTGCTGACACTCTGTGGCGAGTCTTTGAGGAGAAAGCTCTCCACTGAAAGCCAGTGGGAAGTGACCTCCTTGAACATGTAGGTGCTTTTTTGAAACCACACTGGCAGGGCTGATGTGTGCAAGAGCTGGGGATTGCCAGCAACACTCAGGAGCCCAACCATCACCTGAGACATACTGCAAACCTGGTCTATAGCTAACAGCATGGCTGCATGCTGGAGTGCAGGTGAACACACGCAAGCGACCACCAAAGCACTTTCATATAATGTTGCGGGAGCTACCTATGGAGGTGTACCTCTCTCAGCAGCTTCACACTCTGGACAGAGTCCTATGTGAATACAACCAACCACCTATGTCCAAAACAGATGAACACTGCTTCGAATAAAAACCAATCCCGAGTGAAGGTTGATACATCAACATAAGCTGATTGAAGCCAAAAGCTAGATCTGTTGTTCTCCAAAGATTGTCATGCTTTCAGCCTTTTCATTTGGAAAATATCAGATATCCTGCTCCAGGTTAAACACCTCATTTGATTATCATAGTCTTTTTTGGCAATGCAACTTGCCAATTCATAGGGGAAATAACAAATATAAGCAGCATGGAGCAAGGGAGGTCAATGAGACACATCAGCAATGCTCCTTAGCTGACAGAGAAAAGAAAGCAGCACCTGCAAAAGGTGTCTGCCTTCTCAGGGGGACACACTTTCATTTCTGCCTCCACTGAATTGTGAAACTAGTTCAGCAAGTCATCTAAATAATAAAGGAAAATGTAGTAATGCTATTGTTACATGCAATTTATTTTATGTACACAGCACAGTTGGAAGTTCACACCAAAGATCAAAAAAAAAAAAAAAACAAACCCAAACCAAGCCAGTATAGGACCTGATTTTAAAAGAGCCAACATCCATCTTCCCCCTGCTGAGTGCTGCTCTGATGGCACTTTTTGAAAATTCAGCTGCTTTTTTTTTCAGGTATGTAAAGTGCAAGCTGAGCTCTTTTGAAAATCCAGCACCACGTATTTCACAGATGTACTGTTTCTGATAGTCTTGCATGTTATGCAGGAAAAAAAAATAGCTTGAAACTTGTGAGAAAGGCATGTACATCACCTCCATCAGTCTAACAAAAAACCCAAAACTACTCTAACTACAGAGATTTCCCCTCACCACTTACAGTAACCCCTTAACTCAGTATCCTTGAGGTGTGCCTCATGATTACAAAAGGGAAAGGAGAAAAAAGACTTTCTAGTTTCAATCCATTAGCTGCTCACCAGGGGACCCAGTCTAATTTTCTTTTTTGAGTATCAAATTCTCTCAAATGCGGAGTCACCAGTCAAAAGCACAGGGGCTCCTCAGAGAGGAGAAAAAAATATTGCTACTGTGGAGTCCTTCACCTTCACAAAGACGCACCAGAAGACAACAGCTCCCAAGCCAGATGCTCACCTAGTATAAAATTAGCAGCTTTATGCAAAAGCCACTTCATGCATTGCAAAGCCAGCAACAAAACTTACAAAACACTGCCTAGACATTGCATGAGCTTTAATTCATTTTTCCTGACCATGTCTTACAGCATGATGCACACCCCCTTCAGTTCTGAAGGACTTAAAGCAGTGCAAGGTAGAAGCCAATTTAAACAAAACCAGTTGCACAGACTAGCTGGTTTTGGGACAAACTCCTCCACCTCCCCCGAACAAACCTCAACTTCTGTGCTTAAGGGCTGCCAAGCAAGTGTTGTCAAGGTCCAGTGTAGAGCTGCCTGGCTCATCTGAAGGCAGCCAACTAGTAATTTCAGTAGGTTCAGCTCAACAGAGGAGATGTGCATGGCTATCTGCTGAGGCTTTGAAATAGAAATGTGCAATTCCCTCTAAGAAAAGGCACAACTAAGACCCGTGGACAAATGACACTTGCAATCAGGATTCAGGCTGCACCTTGCTGTGCAAGGGATCTGATCACCAGTGTTGGGTTTTCTGTGGGCTACTGCAGCAGCAGCACAGGCACCTCCTGAGGCCATGGAGATGCAGCAGCACAGGCACCACAGAGGCCATGCAACCACACGCTGTGGTGTCTCCCTGTTTCAAAATACTTAACCTCCCTAAGCAATCAGATAACTTTTATTTTTGTTTCAGGGATTAGTTTTCCCTTTGCATTTGTCTTTCATTTACATAGGGCTGAAAATGGGAACAGGCAGGAATTCAAATTACCTGCCACCTGAGTACTAAGAAGCTGACCTAAGTTGACCAAAAAGCCAAGGGCAAGTTGGTGACCAAAAATAAGGGCAAATTGGTGTTGGCTCATCCAAACCAGCCTGTATACAGCTGCATGCATGCTGCTCTCTTACCACTGCCTTGAACAGAAGCTCAACTACAATGTGCCAGGGACAACACAGTATCTTCTTCCCTGCAATATCCTCCATTTGCAAGGGTTGAATTCACAGTCTCCACGTAGTAAGAAATATATTTAAACCATTTTATTTACAAACAGAACTACTTATACACCATGGACCAGTTTGTCAAACACAGTGTAGACTAGGACTGGTATGCCACATAAAATATAACCCTCTTCATTAGCCAGTTAGTCATGCAAACAAAAGGGCCACATTCCTGGAAGATCTCAGTGGCTGGCACTAGTAAACCTACCACAGGTATTTTGTATTTTATCTCCTATCCAGGCCAGATTTCACCCTTAGGTGGTGTAACTCTATAGTTGCCTCATCAGACTGGGACTACTCACAGAGTTAGTTGTCAGTTTGAATAAGCGATAAGAACAACCTCAAAGACCTTCAGGAGATGATAAAGAGAGAGGAATCCGCTTGCTAGGGACTTCAGCATCAAATAAGGACTTTAAGAGTTCATCTGCTCTTAACTCATTATTCCCATCCTACTTGATTACAAGATGAGAACTGGGTTGTTCAGCAGCAGACACAGTATCACAATCTCATGACTGAGATTTCAGGTTAATAATAAGCATCTAGAGCAGGTGAATTCTTAAACTCTTCATCCAGTATAACTTTTAATAAATAACTTATTTTATTTTAGAAGGAAAAAAATACAATGCAAAGCAACACAGCACATATTACAAATATTCAGAGTTCTTCATCTAATAACAAGAGGGTGTCCTGAGATTCAGTGAGTACAGATCTTTCAAAAGGTGGAGGTATGTAGTCCACACGGTTAGTAATTGGTCCAGTCAAGGGTCAAACTGAAACTCATGTCATGGATCTATCTATTCTTGAGTATTGTCCTGGTAAAGTTATTCTTGCAGTGGATTGAAAGAGGTCCAGACACACTCAAAGTCACTAGGTGATCCACAAGTTTAAAGAGCAGGTCTGATCCACTGGAAAGGTTGCCTTCAAGTCTGATATCCAGTTGGAAAGAGGGGGTGGAGGGTGAGGCTCCACTTTTCACAAGGTGATTCATCCCTTTGCAAGAATTAGAGCTAAATGTAGAAATCACTCTTTGTTTGAACACATACATTTTCAGGACTTTGCTTAAGCAGGCAGAGCTCAGGACTTGGGGCGATATTCACCAGTTTTAGCTTTTTTAATCTTTTGCTTTCAGAAATTTGTCACTACTACTACTCTTTTCTGGAATAAATGCATCCAGACATCAGTTTGAAAAAAAAAGCAGTGCAGTAATTGCGATTTTGCTTTGCATGCAAGGGGGGTGGAAACGGTGGCAGAATTTAAAAGAAGTGCTGAACATCTACCATTTCAACCAGGTCCTGTAAAAAGGCCACAGGCTGGCTGCCTACAGTCAGCAGTCCCATCAGCATTATGGCCAACACCTACTACAGTGCTACTAATTTTTTTCAGAAGGTTTTAGGAATCCTTTACATTAATCATTTTTTTTGGCTTTTCTAGCAGCAATTCTCCTGTTCTCCTTTCTCCATTTGATTTCCACATCTGTCTCCTATGCAGTTTAAATTTGGAAAGGATCATTTTGGACGATATTTGGAGGCAACCTCTTAAATTGTGAAGAATGTTTTACTGTTGTCATTTGGGGAAAGCTAGCTACTTTCAGATGTTCCATTCACCTTTTCACCTGATCCCCCCAAGTCCCAGCTCTGGAATATATGGAACAGTTGCCTCTATTAAAAATGACATGGAACATTTAACCAAAATTCTCTTTTGCAGAGTACAAAATGGTTTGTGGCTCCCTTTTGCAGGGAGAAAAAAAAAAATGAAAACCTCCAGAAAACTTGAAACCCCCAATATATCAACCTTTAAAGAACTTCTCTTGTTGCAGTGTTTATGTTCTGGAGAACCCATGAGTCTCAGCTGAGCCCACCCAGGAGCCACCCTTTGTTGATTTTAAGGGCAGTCTACAAGTTTCCATCAGCCTGAGCATGTAGTTCAGGTTTTCAACATGGGACACCTTTCCTCTTAAGCCACTATGATGGTTTCTTCTTCTTTAATAGTTGAGAATGTAGTCTTTTGTCTTTTTTTACTATATCTGAGAAGGAGAAGTCTTGATTTGGATGCTTGGCTAGCTTTTTAATTAACCTTTCACAGTTATCCCAAAATAGATCCAAGTAGGGTCAAGCCTTTTTGTTTATGCAAAGATGTGCTGAGTTGCTCAAGAACCAAGCCCAACTCATGCATCTTTGTCCAAGGCAGGGGAGGAGTTTATTTGCTGTCATAGATATCTAACTATTGGGAGTTAGTTTCAACATTTTCACTTCCAACTGAAATTCAAAATGGATTCATGAGATGCGTCCTTTTAGCTTAAAAGAACCCAACCCACAAACAAAACTCAGAAGCTCCCCAGGCTCTGAGGCATCAGCTCCACTGCACTGCTCTGCTGCTGTAGAGGCCCTGAAGAAAGCTGAAACTGAGCAGCTCAGACATGTGGTCTCCACTGGGGCTAGTAAAGGCCAGAGCAGGATGACACCTGTGCTATACAGAACATACTGGGACCCATTGGAGTGGGCATTAGAGGCAGTTTGCAGCTGGTGAGGGTCAGAGCATCTCTGGCAGCCATAATCTTATTTAAAGACTTTTAAACTAACTTGCCTTTCTGGCTAGAGCTGTACAGATAATGGATTTATTGGCTCACTGCCAACTGGAAAAAACATTTTGAAAAACTTTTTGAGTATCCTGAAAAGATTTTTGAGGGATACTTTTAAGATTTCTGGAATATCAAAGAGTAGGGAAATATTTAAAATTTTAAGTCAAATTAATGACATAATTTCACAATCTAAAATGTTGCACTCAAAAAAATGAGGGGTTTTGTCAGTTAGATGAGATGCTAAGACTGCATCAGCACAGAGGGATGCTAAGACTGTTTAAAGCTGCGTGAGTAAGTAAACTTCTACTTAACTGTCAAAAACAACCATTAATTTGGGGTTGAACCCAACATTTCTCTCACCCAAACCAAACCATTTCATTTCTGAGCATTACTTTTAGAGCCCTTGAATTTGCATAAAACTCTAAAGAGGAGCGAACTGGAAGCTTTATTGAGACTTAATTTTCTTCTTTAATTCAGCCAAGCAGCAATAAGTCCGTGAGATAATTTAGACAACCTTCATTTCTACCAGAACTTGCACTGGTTAGAAGTATGAGGTGGCACAGCAGAGGGGAATGTTCCAACATTTTCCTTTTCTTTTAAATTACTGCCTCATCCTAACCTTCCTCTTTGCACTCAGCCTCTATCTGCATCTTTCTGCTGTGTGGACTCTGACCACTCTGTGGATGGACCTCTTTCTTGGTCAGCATTTGTAGATCACCAGCCTAAATGGAGCTCTGAAGCCTGGGTGTTTCTGGGCACTGCCATATCAGATGAGTAGGTAAGGAATGGTAGAGTGCTCAAAAAACAAAAGTAACATGGCATATAAATGCAGTATTAGCTTGGAAATGGCATGTAAGGGTCTCAAGGCACACAAAAAAGGATCTCGGTAGAAATCCATACACCCTGAGGTGCATATCCAGGTATAAGGGATAAATACTGGTGATGTGAATGGTTCAAATATCTGAGTGGGAGCAGATGCACACATGGAGGGAGTGCAGGAGTGTCATGCAAAACTGAACTCCATGGAGATGCTACTGACCTGCATCATGTGCAAAGGACCTCCTGTCCTGTACAGTGGGCTTCAAAGCAAGCCCTGTGGCAGGCAGGAGAACTGCTGTGGTTCTGTGGAGCTTTTTGTTTTATTCCTAATCCTCAGCATGGATTCTGTACACGCACTGGCAATTTGCATGTGGTCAGAAGAGCCACAACCTTCTCCAGAGCAGCACTAAGCATAATCCTTCCCATTATGCCTTAACGCCTGCACTAAACTAAGCTCAGATTAACCCAGCCAGAAAGGCAGGCTTTGGGATCAGTTTGAGTAAGTGGCAGGAGAAAGTACAGACACAATTACACAAGCAAGGCAAGCAATTCAAAGTGGAACATACCAAATTAGCAGCCATGAGGTGTTTACCAAGTCATTTGAATGTTGTCATGCCAATGGTAGTCATACCCATGTGCAAAAGCCAAGGGCGCATTCAGATGGAAGTGTCATGACCAGGAAGCCTGTCCCCTAGAACTGTGGGTTTGCTGACACGCTTCTGTTGGCATCAGCTGTATTTGTGCTTACTTCTGTTAATGTTGAATACTGTTTCTTGCCTTTACTGGGCTTGACTGTTCAGGTCAACTGTGAAACCAGCTAATCTGGTGTAAAGGCAGTATACCACAGCAGGGACCCTAGCTCCTATCCATTTAATAGTAGGGTGGGATTTTTTATTTGGCAATAACCCCAAATATTCAACCGCTGTTATGTCAAGAGGCACTTATTCAAACTGAAGCATTGATTTCTGTGAACAAAGGAGCCAAAGAAGTGACTGTTAAGTTAATGACTGCCAATGTAGTGACTGTTAAGTTTTAGTCTTGCCTGCACTTGTTATCATCAATACAGATGCTAAAAGAAAAACTGCTGACTGCAAACAAAGGGTAATGGTTTCCTCTCTGCAGCATCATCCCTGCGTGTTTTTGAATGGTTTGTCTGTCTTCCCACACACTTAAATTCCAGAAAATGATGTGAGAATGATCTGGGCACTACTCACTCTAGGGTCACCTGAGCCACAGCATCCATCGAACTGTATCCGTTCTCCATGAAGATCTCCGTGTATCGGCCCATTTTGATGGCTTCCAGCCACTCACCCACCGACCTGTAGGCGCCACTCCCAACTGGACTGTGCTCTACCAACAGATTTGATACTCTAAAAACAAGTGAAAACATAAAAGCAAACAGAATCAGTATTGAGATGTACCCAATGTGACTCAGTTGCTCACATTTTTATATGGTAAAGATGATTTTTTGTTTCGGTTTCAGTGGTTGGTGAAGCCTAAATCCTCCCAGCAGGTTTGATATGGTGTGTTTCAAACATCCTGTAACTTCACCCACTTTAGAGTCTGTTCCTGCCATTTCTGGTCCTCACTGCAAGCAGAAAATGGAGAGGACTAACATCTATCCCCGTTACCTCTCACCAACAAGCAGGCTCACTCTTAGTTCAAAGTCTTCCATTTCACTCTTCCTGCTCTGTTTTCCTCATCCTTCTCCTATAAAGCTCATAATTAACTTAAGATAGGCCAGAGCCTAGAAGCTGTAAGCCAAATTACATTTCCCAGCAGTGGCCATCAATGGCAGGCTGCTGTTAACACTTCAGGGACTGCTTCCGCGAAGTTGGGTGGGGATATCAGATACAAGCAGCATTCGATAAGCCCTGCAGAGAGCAGCAATGCTCCAACCATGAATCCAGAGGTAGATGCCTGCTCCTGAACCCTTGCTTAAGGCCTCTCTACTGCAATTGTAACCTGCTCAGTGATGCCATGCACGGAAGAAGCAATTCAGGCAAATAATAACACTCCACCGCAGCAGAAACGCCGATACAGTACCTGGCACAAGCGACCAGTGCCGCGTACAGGTCCACCACCCTACTAATGATGCGCAGAGAGGAAAGAGGGCTTGTCCAAGGTCAGCCAGGAAAGAAACTAGGTTTGTCCCTTGCTTTATAAACCAGGACATACAGCTAATGTAAGCCTTCCATAAAGATTATTACCACAGGTAAAAAAAAGCCCCATTTTTTCTGGGTCAGCCTCTGACAGTGAGAATTGTACTTAAAAGACTTTCAATTGGAAGGAGAGCTGGGATATTATATTATTATAGCACTTCAGGAACCTTCATATATTTTATGAGCACATTAGTATTATTTGTTTATTTAATAGCAATGCTGAAGGATCCAATAAAATGTGAATACTTGCACTACCAAGAACATAATGGCTTCCCATAACATTTTATACACATAAGAAATTCAAAACTCCTAAGTAATCATCATGAAAGTGGATTTTCATCACTAATGTCAGGAGGCACCTACTGATATGCATATGCTGTAATGCAGAGAGTGACTTCCTCCCTTATTTGCATTAATGAGAATTTCCATAAAAAAATACATTACATATATAAAAAAAATCCTTTACAGCTGCTGTATGTTGAAACTATGATTCATTTGGAATTCCTATGGTCTGAGCATGGCAATCTGTAACAATAGAAGCACATTCCCAAAGCCTTGCTGCTCAGGTGCTCCATCCACACTGGAAATACCACAGAAGCTCTGAAAAGGAAAGGTTTGGAATTGCATAGACATGTTCATGGAATAAAACATCAGGAAGGTGCTTAGCAGCTCAAGGAAATAGCTCACTGCCTATTTTCCTCTTTTCTGGCATAATAGTTTGGTATAAAATACTGCATGAAACTGCATAACAGGCCTGGAAAATAGCTTGTTCTAAACTGGAAATGAAAGAGAAACACCACATATTTTATGCTATCATAAAGCTTTTCCTGCAGGTTTGCTGGGACTGACACTACACCTAATTGCTAATAAGAGTAATTTCTTCTTCAGATGGTAAATGATGCATGTAAAATAGGTTGGTGAATCAGATCTGCCTTTTATTTAAATATTAACAGAGATTTCATGTTTCTTCTCTTCCAATGAATGAGATGTCAGCACAGGGATGTGAAGTTGAGCAACAGCAGTCGAGCAGTTCAAGCAGGTGAGATAAGCCACATGCAGCTGTGAAAGGCTCACTCAAATGGTGCTCACAACAGTACATGTGCTTGGGTCCACACTACCAGTCCAACCTTATCTTAGATCCCTTTCATTCCTGTCCAAGGAAAATTATGTGTCTTTTTTTCTTCTCCCCAGAGAATAAGCTTTTCTAAAGGGCCTCTTCCAGTGTAAATCAGGGAATTCCACTGCCATCAGTGAAGCAGCAATGACTTATATTCATCATTTCTGCATGACCTTGCAAGCCACTGAGTGACTAGTAACACAGATGGCTCAGAAGTAATACTTGTGTCCTTCCAGTGGAAATAGGAAAAACCTCTCCAAGATTCCAGTATGATGGAGACACTGTTACTAAAACTCACTAAAAATATATTAATCTCTCTTGATTAAAGTGCAGCTTTATTTCTTGACCATATTTACCTTATTGTAGCCATGTAGCTATTCATATTCATGTTTAATTGTGCACCCACTGTTCTATTAACTTAATGTGGCTTTACTAAATAGTCTGTATAGAACTTTGGGAATCACAGAGATCCTCTTGTGATTACCAATACTGTCACAACTGGCAGTGGTGGCTAGCATGCCTAGGAATGGTTGTGGGAGAATGGACATAGAGTCTTGGACATGGAACAGAATTGTCTGAATTGGAAGGGATATTAAAGATCAACTACTTCCAGGCCCCTGCCACAGGAAGAGACACCTGCCACTAGATTAACTTGCTCAAAGCTCCGTCCAACCTGGCCTTGAAAGGGAAACCAGGGATGGGACAGCCACAGCTTCTTCCAGTGCCTCAGCACCCTCACAGTGAAGAATTTCCTCGTAATACCTGAACTAAATATTTCATTTTAAAGCCATTACCCCTTGTCTATCACTACATGCCCTTGTAAAAAGGGCAGCTTTCCAGCTTTCTCATAGGCTGTTTTTAAGCACTGCAAGGCTGCTCTCCAACTCTAGCCTGTCTTTTAAAGGAGGTGCTCCAGCCTTCTGATTGTTTTTTGTGGCCCTCCTCTGGACTCACTCAAGCATGTCCATGTTCTCCTTATGTTGAGGACCTGGAGATGGATGCAGTACTGCAGGTGGAGTACCCGGAGAGCCCAGTAGAGGGACAGAATCACCTCTCTCGATCTGCTGGTCACACTTGTTTTGATGCAGCCCAGGATATGTTTGGGTTTTTGGGCTGCAAGTGCACACACTGTTGGCTCAAGTTGAGCTTCTTGTCAAGCAAAACTCCAAGTCTTTTTCTTCAGGAATGCTCTCAAGTCATTCTCTGTCCAGCCTCTATTTGTGATTGGGATTGCTCTGAACCAGGCACAGGACCTTATACTTGGCCTTGCTGAACTTCCTGAAGCTGGCATTGGCCCACCTCTGAAGGTCCCTCTGGATGGCATCCCTTCCCTCCAGCATGAGGGCTGTACCATCCAGTTTGGTGTCATCAACGTCTGTGAGCTTTGCATATCCTAAGACTTTCCCCAGGAGATGCTCTTCATTTGCATCACCAATATGAAGTCAACAGGCAAATAAGTTGAGCAGTGTTTACTACCTACTTCCTGCTCTCAAGTCTTGCCCCCTCTAATCTTGTGATAGGGCATAGGTAGCTTTATCATAGAACTATAAATACCACTGAAACTCATGTTTCTGAAAGACAGGTCACAGTAATTTTCTTTGTGGCAGCAGCACTGCATTTAGACACTAAGTGAATTTCTCACCTGCCTGCCAATTTCAACAGAAGAAGTATATTTGGGAAAAATCCTCTAGACATAATTAAACTGGAGTAACATCCACCTGCAGACACACAGAGGCTAAATAATAAGTGGTAACTCAACCCCGGGGCAGGTATTCAGACAAGAATCTCACTCTGAGAAATGGCTTTGGCCCTAACTTGTACCTGCTCGATGCATTAACCAATGTCTTCAAGCTGCTTGGGTTACGGATGAGCTTGTCCAACATGCTGACAATTTCATCAAACTTGGGCCTGCTGTTGCGGTCTTTCTGCCAGCAGTCGAGCATTAGCTGGTAGAGAGCAGCAGGGCAGTCCATGGGACTTGGCAGGCGATAGCCTTCCTCCACGGCTTTAATCACCTATAGGAGACAGAACACAGGGATGATGGCTTGCTTTTCTTCTTCTCGTCTTTTCCCCAAATGCAAACTGACTTAAACAGAGAACTCTGGGACCACCAATATGCTCAAGCAAAATCCCACAACTCCTCAGCTCCACATACAAGAGGCAAACCCAGAAAACTTCACTGTCTTTCATACTGTCTATGGAATGGGTTGAATAACTTAGGTTTTGGTCACTGCAAAATGAATCTAGAAAGCCACAGCACTGCTGCAACAGGGAGGGCAGATTGTCATGTCTCACTTGTTCAAAGCTCAGCCAAAGGCTGTAGGTTATATACCAGGAAACTCCCAGAGCCTACCCTAAGTCCGTGAAAAGCAGCCTACAGGGCTTTCTGGCATCTTCTTGAAGTACAGTGATTTTATTTATTCAGATGTTGGCTTCTTTCTAAATGAAAAAGCATGTGCTAGACCACAAATTTGTATTACAGTAATAAAAGTCTGACTGCATTTCAAAAGAGACTTTGAATGCTAATTGATGGATGGATTCAAGGCAGAGGCAGAATAACCATCTCATATATCATTCAATACTGTCTGGGTCTAGTTGTTTCTTAGTGTGGCCACATTTCTGCCAGGAATTTAAAATGTCAGCCCAAAAGTATATAAATTAAAACCAGGGGAGGGTTGTTGCGCTGATTTCAAATACAAACCTTCTCTGGTTCTGTATCTTAAACAAGTGGTATGCACATGTGCTGCTGTCCCTCTTGAAAGGCAGAAATGGATAAATGAGGGGAGAATTGAAGAAAGCAACTTGTTTTCCCCAGTTTGGGGCAGATTTACAGCAGGGCTTCGAGCTCAGCAGTTCTCGTTTAGAACCATTACAACTTTCAGGAGAACACAGCTTGTGTTTCAAGCCACAGGGGTCTGTGCTCATGCCAAGAGAGTCTCGGCAGACCATCTTCACACCCTCTACTCCCAAGATTCCTTGCCCAAAAGGAGCTGAAAGCAGCTATTTGCAATGTGGAAAACCACAGCGCTTGACTGCTGGACTCCAAGAGCTACATCAGATACTATTCATTCTAGGCACCGTCTCATGATTTGAAAACATCCTGTGTTCAAAAAGAAGGTGCTGTGGTTAGCATGGAAGTTGTTTTCTTGATCTTTAGTCTCTATACATGCAGTACAGGAAGAGCCGTGTCAAGCTGGCATTGCATTTCAGAAGGCTCTGAAATTCAGGACCACATGTATCACTTTCAAATTATCCTCCACCACACAGGTTTTTGCCAAGTGGAAGAGTCTCAGGAATGAGCTGGGCTGGCCGAGCAGCAGTAGCAGGAACCTCAAACTCCCAAAAGATGTATGGAGTTGAGAAGTAGGCGAGGCTTTGTAATCTTCTCCAAATGCAGTGAGCACGTCTGAAGATCTGCAGGGCTTTTGTGCCCATTTAAGATTTCATCTGTCAGTAGAGCAGTTGCACTGCTTTCTACCCAACCTGTGCTTGCAAAGTGGTCTCTTTGAAGACCTGGCTCTTGCTCACAATATCAAAAAAACCAGCCCCACCACACTATGCTATCTGCACTGTCTGTTCCTCACATCATGCTTTTCAGATAGTCCCTGATACTAGATTTGCAACTGCCCTATTAAAAAAACCCTCAGTGTGGCACAGCCACAAGAATATTATTTGCTGTGTCCACATCTGTATTTATAGCAATAATGGCTCATCTTCCAGGTGTAGCAGAAAGAAAATAGTAGCAAGACAGGGAGCAGACCATCTGGCACCAGCTCAGAATATCTGAACTACATCTGCAGTAGGGTTGTGCATGTTTGATATTCCTGGCAGTAAGTAACATCACAATCAATGTCTTTAACTCAATTTACAGGATGTCGTTTGTTCTAGTGATACAATGTAAATGGCATCAAAACACTGTGAGGAGCTAGGATGCTGAAATAGACTCTTGCATCTGAAGGTGCCTTGGGGGTCTGGCATTAAAAGGAGCGAAAGAATGAAGCAACAGAGACCAAGTCACTTGTAACCACCACAATAGTTAGAAAATAAGAAAATGGCACATTCGCTGTTCCATTCATCAGTGTATACTGCTTTGTAAGACTTGAAGAGCTAAAATTTGCACCCAAGGAGGCATTTTTGTCCCTGTTCTTCTTCTGGACAAACACTACTCACTTATGGATTGGGGTCACTGAACTGGGTGTTTGGGGGAGCATGATTTGGGATAGTCTATTCCAGTAAATCAAAGCAACACTTCTAGCTTTCTCTTCATAAAAATACCAGTGTGAATACTAAAAAGCAACCACTGTGATCATTTAGCTTAGCAACCTGTGTAACACACCACAAAATTCCTCCCAACAATTCCTGCATCAAAGCCTTATCTTGCGGTCAAATCACAGCGTATCTTTAGAAGGACATTCAGAAACTAGCATGACTCTAAACCATGGTCTGTAGCCTTTGCAGTAACAATGCTGCCTGTCCTATAGCACTGCATCTCTTTTAAAGCAATCCAGCTGTAACATGGTGTGAACCATTTTGTTCATTACTGACTGTGCTTGCAAACGATTTGCTTTAATTACAGCCCATGCAACAAGAAACTCCTGTGCAATGGAGTCCGAAATTCGTATGAGTAGAGACCCCATGTCCTCCATATGAAACCTAAAGCTGTTTTTAACACCACTGATTCTTCTGACAAGACAAGCAGGGGAGGAAAGAAAAGGCAGCCTTCAGAAGATGGAGGAGGAAGCCATAAATCACATGAAAAACATACCACAGCACTGAATCAAGTTTCATAAGCCTCCAGCATCAAGGCACTTGCCACCTTCAGAGGCAGAGGTAACCCAAGCAAAACCTGAGCAGAACTGATGCTCATAAACATTTCACCAGTCTTCTACTCTCTGCTGCTAAAGAAACCAATCCCCCATCCACTTCCCTTCAGGCAAGCGTGAAATTCATCGTGCCTCACAGCGCATGGAGGCATTTGGGCTTTTCAGAACAGCTCTGCAAAGAGTGGATATTCATAGCAGTATGATCCAGACATGGGACTCCCCGGCCACAGAGCCTTATTTTACTGGCACCAGCTTGAATCTTAGCCTGGCATTTACTGAACATCTGTGCTATGCTGAGGCATCAGCATTAAAGATAGTTACAGGACTCAGTGTGACAAAAAAAGCTTGCCTCTCAATTGCTGCATTCTCCGCAGAGCCTATGGAAAAAAGTCTCTGTATTTGACTGAGATAAATCCCTACGTAAATACATGATGCTTTACCAAACTCCCTGCAAACGTGACAGCTTCGGCAGTGCAAGAGTGGTGGGGCATTCATGCCAAACAACAAGCTTGTCTCCCTGGCAAGAAGCACGGCGTGACCGTCTCAAAGGTACCACTCATTTCCACGCCTGGACTCAAAGTGAGATGAGACAGCAGCTTGGCATGACAGGTAGTAACGGTAGTAACATCCACTGATAGCAAAGGCCCGCAGAGAAACCACAGGAGAAACAGAATGCTCAGCCAGAGCCTTTGCTGCCAGTGAAATGACAGAAACTCACAGGGATGCTGCTCAAAAAAGGATGAAATATCAGATGTTGTGACCAGAGGAAACCATGGTGGAACAATGACCTGGTTGCATTGCCTAGCCAGCAGCAGCACCTCCACAGGCAGCAGGGCTGCAGAAATGAAGTGGAAGGTATGAGGAATGACTCTCTTTTCCACACGCAGGGGTTGCATTGTCCTCCACATCAGAAAGCTGCTTTGGGTGGCCCTGCATGCTTTATGGTGATCCCTACGTCATGCACTAACCGGCATTCTCAGGGACCTCCACACATCATGGTTCTCAGAGATATGAAGAGGAAGGTGAAGCACAGAAAATCTGGCAACCCCAGACTTAATTTTTTTTAGCCTTAGATAAGTACAGATGTTTATGATGAGCTCAGGGTAGGATTTAGCCCTGCAGCAGGATCAAGGGATCCATACACAGGCTGGGATCAGAGCCGGGACAGGAGGAAGACAATGTCCCCAGGCATCTCCCTGTCTGGAGAGTGCTTCAGAGGGTGCCCTTGAGGTCAGAGGCTCAAGAAAGCAGGGGCACAGGAGCAAGGGAACTTGAGGGCGCTGTACAAACAAAGCATTAAGAGCTTGCATTAGGACAGACTTACAAGATGCTCACAACAGGAGCAAAACTATTCTCTTGAGATCAGCAATGCAAGGGCAACCAAGAAAGCTCTCTGGACTGCTGTCACTAGATCAAATCACCCAGCTTTTGTGAAGACAAACAAAGCCCTTACCATGACTCCCCTGAGTTTCTGCTTTACGCGGCAGCAGGGGTTTGAACACACAATTGAAACACTGCCAGTTTATCAGTATCTATCCCCTGGCAATCTTTGTCATTAAGCAGAAGAGGGACAGGCTCCAGCTCTAACAGCATTAGTGAAGCTCGAGCAGTCTGCTGGGGGAAGCAGGCTTGCCTCTGTGCAGACACATTTCCCTCTGCACACAGTCGGTTCTCTGCTGCTGCTGCTGCTGCTGCTGCAAAAAGCACCAAATGGGAAGAACATTTTTGTCAGGCATAGGGGAGCAAAGCCATTTTTACAGCAGCACTCCTCCTCTTGTCCCCATCCTGCCTCTCTGCTTGCAGAATGAACACCAAAGCCCTCAAAGTCCCAGCACACGGCAGCTGTCACACATGCTTACATCTTGGTTTGTCATTTCCCAGTAAGGCCTCTCGCCGTAGGACATCACCTCCCACATCACGATGCCATAGCTCCAGACGTCACTGGCTGATGTGAATTTACGGAAGGCAATTGCTTCGGGTGCTGTCCATCGGATGGGGATCTTCCCTCCCTAGAAGCAAAAGAGAAGGGAAAAAAACCCCAAATCAAACAAAACCAGATTGCAGAGGAGGGCAGAAAACATGCAAAGGAGGATGAAACAGCACTTCCTAGAGCATCAAGGGATGTTATTTTCTCTCTGGAAAGAGACATCGAATTTTAAAGTAAATCTGTTTGACAGCATGGGGCCCTTTTCCACATTATCTCAGCCCATAAGCATTTGTAGGATGCCTACTAATTGGCTGTCCTGAAGGTTTATTGTTTGAATGCTGTTTGAATGCTGGGACATGTATAGGATCAACATCTCAATTATGTTGCGCAGGTTGGTAGGGGAATACAGTTCCTCCATTTCTGAGAGCGAGTTGGGGAGGAACAGACAGCTCTGAAGCTGAGGAAGACTTTGATCTAATGCGGGATTCATGCAAATTGCTGCAGAAATAATGCCTTTTCTTTTTTTAAGGCAGTCACGATCCTGCAGAGAAAGCTTCCTAGCCAGCACAGAAACCTATGTGTGCAAAGACCAGTCAGCTTGGCCTCTGCTGTGGGACTGAAAATGATGCCACAGCTGTCAAATGAGCTTTGCTGTTTCCTTTTCCCCTTTCTGCTGTTTCAGAAATCAAGCTTCAGACCAGCTCTGAGAAGGAAGAAGGGAGGAAGAGGAAAGTTTGGATTAAGGAATACTTTTCTCATTGGGTTTAAAGTTGTCTCCCTTGATTTATTTAAAAATATATTTTGACTGTGAAGTCCATCCCTTTCAGTGTTGAGCTAAGTACTGGAAGGTCTCCCTGAATGCCCCCTAACAGTATTTGTTACTGGAAAAGGGCAGAATTTGGAATACATTTTCAAAGTAAATTTTAAAAAGTCCCTTCTTCCAATAATTATTTATTCACAGGCCTATCAGCACATGCCTTAAGTGATGGGCCAGATTCTCAGCAGTGCCAATTAGCACATGGCAGTGCATTGGAATCACAGCAGGGCTGGCTAAGAGCCCTCCAGCCTGCAGGGAAACTCCAGTCCAGTCGTGCACTGAGTCCCATAGTGGGGCTGTGACTGACAAGAGCTGAAAGATCTTTCCCAGATCTCCACAGAAACTGGGAATGTGACCCAGAGCTCCCACTACCTGTTAAATAATACCCTTGGAAGAGCACGCTAACAGGACGCGTCTAGGTGTGCCAGTCACTGCCATGAACACTGGAAGCTCTCTCCAGCCCTGTGCTGCTGAGGATGGATCCTGTCCACCCCCTGTCCATGGTGCTGGGGTCATGTGCCCTTCCACTGGGATAGGTGGGCTGATGCCATGAAAGAATGAATAAAGGATGGAAAGGGGCAGAGCACTGAGGCTGAAGCAGCTCTTTCTCAGATTGGTGGAAATTACCTTCAACAGAGTAATGTTATAGACTATGTGCATCATTTGCAACAATATTACATGCTCACCAAATTTTCAAAAGGGTCAAATTGTCCACAAGACTGTGGCTTACATCCTTGCATGGGTGCCCAAGCAAAGCACTTACTCTTTCTCTTTCCTTCCTTTGGTATTCACTAAAGAGGGCAGAAGGAAGCCAGGTACCTTTGCAAAGTTTACTATTCAACTCAGGTGCACAACATGAACTTGGTTAACATAAAGTTATTAGTTAAGTTCTGCCTTATTTGGCCACCTCCACTACGAAGTAACAGGCATTTGCAAAATTAATCTGACAACGATTAACTGGTAATACCTGGCCAAACCCTTGTGCACAGTTTAAGGGCTCTGGATTTGTAGAAACCTCTTTGCTAGAGAGCCTGAATGCCAAAATTTGGCAGGAATACATTTTACTTGTGCTCAATCATTTTCTTGAGCTCCTAACTCACCCTGGTAGTATATGCTGCTTCGGGATCATCTTCTAGGACTCTGGAGAGGCCAAAGTCTGACACCTTGCAGACTAAGTTGCTGTTGATTAGAATATTCCTGGCAGCCAGATCTCTGTGTACGTAACCCATGTCAGACAGGTACTTCATTCCTGATGCAATGCCTCGCAGCATCCCGACCAGCTGAATGACCGTGAACTGCCCATCGTTCTTCTGCAGAAGAAAGGAGACATTTGATCAGTTGAGAGTCTCCGCACCCTCAGTATTGTGTGTGCATGAATAAACTGCAAAGGCAAGTCTCCAGGGAAGAAAAACAAGGAAATTAATAATTCATTACTTTCATGCTCTGACCATGAAGCTTTTCAAAGTTTCACTGTTTGGATTAGGATCTCTAGAAACAAAGCTAAGGAAATGTAGTTCTTTTAACTGGAGATCAAGGAGCAAGCTATTTCTACTGGTGACTGATAAAGAGACAGTGACTGCAAGTGAACACGTGTAGTTATGAGTATAAAGGAAGGGGAGTGGGCTGTCTCAAAGTCAGCCAACTGAATGGCACCAAGTTGCACAGAAATCCTGCCTGCAGAAGTCCATGTGCGAATATCTGGTGTTAGAGCCTCTTCCCCATGTTGCCACACCACATTTCTAACCACTTCCTCTATCCTCCCTTCAGTAGCTCTTATGTTTAATGGAAAAACTGACAAGTCTGGGATTTGCCATGATGTAGTGTGGATGTGCTCTTGAAACACATCAAATTTTGCAGGATAAGTTAATCATTTCCATGCAGTAGACTGCCTTCTAAAATAAACATCCTCCAATTTATTCTTATCTGTTTGTATCAATGTACACACCAGGTCCTTCATGGTGCTGTATAAATGTAGATCAGACAACCAAGCTACTCCTGTCTCCAGATAGCATCAACAGCTGGACCACCATCCAGCAAACATTTTCATTGATATTAACCATCTCGAAGAACCCAAACTGTAACCAAGACCCCCCTGGAAAAAGGATCTAAGAATTACCTTTAAAAATGTATCCAGAGAACCATTCTCCATGTATTCAGTTACTATCATTACTGGTTTGCCTGGAAAAAAAAGTGCATGAGTTCATCAGCATTTTATTTAAAATAACATGAACAATAATAAAGTCTTTTCATAATGCACCTGAATGCGAATATACAGCCATGCAACAGTAAATCTACACTGAGACACTGCTGTCCCAGCAGGATAAAAATAGGTTTTGCCACAATACATGTAGACATAGGGGAATTGAGGAGTAGGGGATGAAAAAGAAATCCTGTATTATCGGTGGGGTACCAAGCCCTAAAGCTTATAGGCAATGTTTGAGGAAGAGGTTGCAAGGATAATCTGAAGTATCTGTGTGAGCTTGGTAACCACCAAAATTAAGACCAGGACAGAATGGTATTACATCCCTTGTAATTCAAGTAATCCCATGTGACTATCCTTGTAAACACATCTGGAAGAAAGAATAGGAATATTTATGCTGCAGAACAAAAGCAAGTTAAGTATGGAATGAGTTGAGTGGAAATCAAAATAAAAGTTCTTAACAAAAGACCTGCTCTCCTATTGTTGACAGGAATAATAATGTTTTTCCAAATCCATTTGATTAATTTTCATCCCCGAGTCATTTTAATGGTAATTTTATATAGTTTTTGCTCAGATTTTATATCTAATTTCTCGCTAGCTTGCCACAATGACATAGCAATAATTAATGTGGTGTGCTCCAGCCCTTGTAAATTCAATGAAATCTTATAAGCACACGTAAATTATTTTTTATTTAAATCAATTTCCATTAACTAGCATGAAGCAGAGACAAAAGAGGAACTGTCAATTATTTGTAAAGTGCATTATAAATGTTTTTCATTGAAATGATCAACAAGAGCTGCTGCATGTCATAACATGCACATGAAGGTAAATGCTCCTAAAAATCGACACATGTTCTACCATTTAGATTGATCTTAATCTTCCCACTTTCCTGTTATCTTAACTATTTGCCTAATTTACTGCTTAATTATCCACATAATAAAGGTAATTGTAAACTTGTCAATCAAAACACTCATTGTGCAGATACTATTTTTGCAGCATGAGGGACCTGAGCTGCTTCAGTTCTTTTAAGCTAATATTACTGTTTCTGCCTGAGCTTCTAAGCTTCCTGAAAGTATTACTTTTGATATGAAAAGTGCACAATGGGGACATGAAAAATACCCTTAATTCCCAAAAGAAATTATCGGCCCCATCTTCAAGGATGACAGCTGTCTGTCTATGCACATGGGCTGCATGCAAGAGGAAGGAGAGATCTCATGTAATGTTCGCACAAGTTGGCAAACACATCAGTAACTACACAAGGAAGGAAAATACCAGGTATACCTCCTTTTTTTTTTTTTTTTTGTATTTTTGTTTTTAAACATTAAATCCTGTCCTGGGTTCAGCAGTAGCAGTCATTTTTCTTCTTCTTAGTAGCTGGTGCAGTGCTGTGTTTTTTACTTTAGCCTGAGAACAATGCTGGTAACACCGATGTTTTCAGTTGTTTCTAAGTAATGTTTACTCTGACCAAGGACTTTTCAGCCTTTCATGCTCTCCCAGTGAGGAGGGGCACAAGAAGCCAAGAGGAAGCAGAGACAGGACACCTGACCCAAACTAGCCAAAGGGATATTCCATACCACTGCACGTCATGCCCAGTATATAAACCAGGGGCAGTTACCCAGAACGGCTAGACCACTACTCGGGTTGGGCTGGGTATCAGTCAGCAGGTGGTGAGTGGTTGTATTCCCTTCCCTTCTTATTTCCTTTATCATTATTATCAATGGTGGTAGCAGTAGTGATTTGTGTTATACCTTAGTTACTGAACTGTTCTTATCTCAACCCTGGGAGTTACATTCTTTCAGTTCTCCTCACCATCCCTTCAGGAGCAGGGGGTGGAAGAAGAGGGGGAATAAGCGAGCAGCTGCATGGTTCTGAGTTACCGGCTGGGCTTAAACCATGATAAACCCTCAACTGTAGCATAAGGTCCCGTATCTCTGACACTGCAAGCCAGTGAGATGGCATCTTGTTATGTGACCATTCTGGGGGACCTCCTTCAGACTCCTGCCTTTGGTTGCCATCAGAGAAAAGAAAACAGGATTTCTGGCACTTATGTTTCATTACCTGACTGCTGCAGGTTGACAATAATTGTGTTATAAATTAGCCCCATATCCAAAAGCATGGAATTAAAAGATACAAATAGAGTATTTTTCAACAAAGTAAATTAAAAGTAAACATTGGCCCTTCTAAAGCACTAGGCTGTTTCTCAGTATCAGTAGGGCTCCCTCCTGGCATTACAGAGCCATAAAATGTGTGTAGATGTCATTCATATCAGTGTACTAATGCAATGCACACACCTTCAGTGCAACCAAAAGGATGCAAATGAAAACAGGACTGTCATTACCTTTGTAAAGCAGAAATAGCTAAGGGCTTGTCTGCACAGGGACAATGAAGATGATTAGTCCAAATTAACTAAGGTGTGCATTTGAACTAGATTAGTTAAATGGTATTAAGCCCCTGTGTGGATATTCTCATTCGGAATTAAAAATGGCCTAATTCAATTTAACTTGATTTACTTCCAAAGTAAATCATGATGCAGCAAAGACATTTTACCCTAAAGATCTGAATCTACAACAGCCGAATGATTAAAATACTGAAGGGAAAAAGAAGTTAAACAATACTTGGAGATAGCAGCATAGATTGGGATTCATAAAAGCTGTTTTGGTCCATTTAAAAGAAAATAAAAAAGCTGGGAAGATGCTCCAGATGCCTGATGGAAAAAATTTTGAGTGCAGGAAACGAGCATTTACTCAGCTAATGAGGAGCTCATGGTGAACATGCGTCCTTGCATCCAAACTACAGTTGCGCCAAGTCCAACTTAGAAGCAAAACTCCCGTCATTTCCATGGTCTTTGAAGCAGACAGCCACATTATATAAAAGAAACCTCACTAGGGAGGCACATTCTCTCTAAAGTGGGATTCCCACCCAACCCCTCAGCGGACAGAAAGACTCAAGCCTGTGTCAGCAGCAGCCTTTATGAATGTATAATCATCACTGGCTTCTTGCCGAATATCCGGCATCCCTGCAGGGCTAGAAATAGGAGCTTTTATGCATTAAGGGGTATACAGGGAGACCCTGAGAGATCTTCATATTTATTCAATTTCTGGGGAGAAACCTATCTTGGTTATTGTTTTATTTTCTTTTTTTTTGAAAGTTTTAGGAAATGCAATTTCAAGGAAAAATGCAAGAAAAGACTTTTGATTGCAAAATAGCAAATTTTGGAGATGCTGCCTGTGATGAATGACAAATGGTACTAACCGCAGCCACATGGCCCCAAACAACAGTATTTGAACAGTAGTAGCTAAGTTCTGACATCACCAATCATGAAGAGGGAAGAGATTCTTCTATCCTTATCTTTAATGAATACAGTAATTTAGAGAAGAACTGGGCTGCGAAAGCTATGGAAGATTATTTTGCTAACTGAGCTGTCAGACTTTAGTAACTCTCATGCTTGCATGTTTTGCCAGCCATTTCACATTTTCCCCAAGCCTTCAACCCCTCTCATAATCTATATGCCAGCATCAGCAGCAACTATAACTATGGGCATCAACAGCAGATCCCAGAGGGAGCTTGCCTTAAGTGTGGTTGTTGTCCTGTTGTCTTCAGCTGCATTGCTGTTCTTCTTCCCTGTTTCTGGAAAGGAAAACTTCAGCTAACTTCTGTTCTTGTTCACATGCCCTGTGAGTGATCACAAGGCTCAGCACTACCCTCCTGTGGGCTTTGCTTCAGTAGTTTCTCAAAACATGATAGCTGGAAATCATCAGGAGTTGGTGGATTTTCTTTTCTAATATATTTATTTACTTTTCCCAGACTCTTGGTAGCAAAATCCTCCCCGTTTCCCTGCTAGGAAAGTTGCTTCTTGGCACATCTTTGCTCACCCTGGAGCCCACGTGGTTTTAAGAGCAAACAAATAAAGGCAGGAATAAGAAGTAAGACCTCTCAAAAAGCTTAGTGGGTGGCTTAGCATCACTGCGTTCAAAATGCTTTTGCATTTTGCAGGCAGTAGGTGCTGCTGAACTACTTACGAGGCAGCAGTCAGACAGTACACTCCACCAGCATTCAGACATCCCAGGCTTACTGCCATCTCCATCACCTGTCCACTGCCTGAGGCTGGCAAACCGTATCATCTCCTATTTCTGTCTCATTTAATTTTGGGCTTCTGAAGAGGGATTGCCTCTTAGGTCATGCACATCATGCCTAGGTGAGGCAACGTTTGCAGTGGGAGTTAACATTTCTTATCTGTTTATCCATTATCTATCCCTCCTAGCTGAAAGAACACCAACATCCTTTGGGCACAAGACCTCTTTACAATGTTGGGGAACTTGTTCTTGTCTGGACCTACAGGGTATGGCATTTCAGGTAAAGTGAATTCACTGCTTTTTGAGAAATTAAGAAAGACACAGTCAAACACACGTTACCCGAGTCTTACTTACTCCCCTCACCCAACTCTCCCATCAGCCAGAGTTCCAGAATAGCAGTCCACAGAACTTGTACCTACTTTTTGTTACAACACCTTCCAGGTGGATGATGTTGGGGTGGTCGAACTGCCCCATGATGCTTGCTTCTCCCAGGAAATCTCGCCTCTGTTTCTCCGTGTAGCCCACCTTCAGAGTTTTGATAGCCACCGGAAACTCACGCTTTCCCTGCAACTTCAGCCGCCCACTGCAGACTTCCCCAAATTCACCTTCAGAACAAAATCAGAAAGAATGGGATCACAGCACGCGGAAGGAATGCATGGCACGTGTCCATCTACAGCAAGCAGTCCAGACCCTATAGACAACTGATCAAAAGCTCACAGGGCTGTTCCATAGTCACAGATGTGGAAAGCTAAACATCACAGTGATCGCCGTCTCAAACAGTCAGTGTACCACAAGCCAAGTAACTCATAGGCACAAAAAAAATCCCTGAGAAACAAGCTAGGAAGAAAAAAGTCATTTTCCTATATTTAAAGAGCTATGTTCCATAGTCTATTGGGGTTTTTCCTAATTTTATATTTTGTCTAGTAGGCGAAGGAGTCCTGTCACATCCTATATCATTACCCTGTGTAGACAGCTTGTGTAAAACACAAGCCACTTGCTTCTTAACCTTCCTTTAGTAAGTTACATAGATGGAATGTTGTTAGCCTTTCACAGCAACATATATTTTTATGGACTATAAACCCTTTCTGATTTTATGACCCAAAATGGGTTTTTTTTTCTTTTTTTTCTGGTGAACAGTAAATTACCTCCAAAACCATAATTTCTGAGGATAGAAAATATTCCTAAGGTTAGATGCGAGTCCAAACAAACAGCTTAACTAGAAAGAAAATGGGAGTTGCTTCTTTTAACCAAGGAAGTTGGAAGCTTTGGACTTTGGTTTGTGGGTTTTTTTTTGTAGTTGACTTCTTATTCTTACTTTTTGTTTTGAGACTGACCTTAATGGGGAGGAGAAAAAGGTTAAAATGGTGAAAAGAACCTGAACCCTTAGCATCCATCAAAATAACTCAGCTTGGCCCAAATGTGACCATTTTGTGCCATTTTCAGTTCAGTCCCTGAATTTCAAAGCTGCAGATAATGGCAGGTTTTGTTTCACACTTCAGCTGGAACATACTCCCTATCACTTGCAGGGTACCTAACAGCATAAGTATTTCACGACCATTCCTTGATCTCTTGTGTTAAGAAAGTCAACCCTCTATGCTGCTAAGGATCATGAAATGCATTTCCATACCAGCTCCAATAACTCGTTCAATGGTTATGCATGAAGCTTCAATTTCCTTAGCAAACTCATGGACAGCTTGGTTAGGGTCCTCATAGGTGTGGGGGTCAATGTAGGTCCTTACTCCAGGCAGCTTAACTGGAAACACAAATTAAAAGCATTAATGGCATATGGCATGACAGAAGATGGGCAATAGACATTCCTGTCTGTTGCACTTTGCTGCAAAAGCAGGAAAACTGCAGCATGGAATGTTATTTCTGTAGAAAAAATAAATAACTTTCTTGGAAAATGACATTCAGTTTATATGTGACATACATGTAACTTCATTGTATTTAGAAAAGCACATGACTCTGCTGAGCTGGAATGATGCACAGTTAAAATTCCCTCTCAGTGCTGTGTAAAGGGCTGGTCCAGGGTCTGGTATAAAAGGACCCTTTTCTGGATCTGGAAAGGGTATGCCAAGAGGAAAAGTACAAAAAGCTAAAAGTTAAGTGAACAATTTGTAGAGCAAGTTGGACATATGGGGGTTGACGAAGACCTGCTATAAATTATGCCCTACTAGTCACAGATTAGCTCATCAATCAGCCACATTATTTCAGACAGAATTACTGAGATTTAAATGAACTGAATATTTGCAGTGCAAATCCTGTGGGTTGTACCAGTATAAATATAATCAATAGCAGGCTTTTTGTCCAGGACATGAGAGGAAAAAGAACTATTTTCATTATCCATATTATAAGTTTATTTTGACAATCATTAAGGTTACTCACATGAAGAACTGCTCATCAGTGTAATGAGACAGCTACATTACACTGTGACTTTTAATTGATTTGCTTCCTGCTGCCTTCATTACACAGCACTAATGGAAATTTGACTTTCACAAGATGCGTTTGCCTTCTCCACCCCAAAAGGCACCTTGCTGTTACCCATCCCCAGATCCCACAGCACTAGACAAAGGAATGCTTTTCAAACACTGTCTTTGGGTGTTCAGAAGGACTGATAATAACCACGAGCTGTACTTTCTAGCATCACCACAGAGGGTTTTGTATACAAGGGCATTAACACAGCATTTCTGAAAACTTCCTAGGAGCAAGATGTAGGCATTACTTCTCATGCCTCTGCAGAGGCATCCAAAGCAAAGAGTAAATGTGGGTTTGGTACTTATGGCCACCTATGGGGGTGGAGTAAGGGTTTCAAGCAGGTATTCTGGACTGACAAGTCCAGAGCAGAAAAATGTAAAGTTGTTATGCACTGACTGGGCAAAATTAATAGCACCTTGGGTCACATAGCAAAGACAGAGGACAGAACAAAATGTCTTGCTAGAGAGATCTGTTGGAAATGTACAGGTGTGGATAACTGGGCACATATAAGGCCTATTCAAATGCTGAGTTCTCCATGGAGCTTAGAGCAGGGGCAGATGTGGACTTACAAAATAGCAGAACAAAAATTCTGCTGTGAATTACCAGCAAACCCAAAATGTAAAACAAACAAAACACAAAAAAATCCTACCCCAAACCCCAAACCAAACCAAAGAAAACCCTCTCAGTTGCATGTCTTACTACTACTGATAGTCAAAAATGCATACGTGTGTGTTTGATCTTTACTCACTGTGGCCATTATGAAAATGCATCTTTTCTTCTTCTGGATCTTGTTTAGCCTTGCTATAACCACATCTCCTGGAAAAAAAAAAAAAAAAAAACAAAAAAACCCAAACAAACAGAAGAGTGTTTTTTTCTCTTGTATGGCAAAACCCACTCTTTACTTCAAATCACACAAAGCACAAAAACCCAGAGCAGCAATAAACTCAACCTCTCTATCAGCTGTATTGCTGCTGTCCCAGTTTTAGCTCATCAACTACTTTCAATTTCCCTAACGGGATTTAGGGCCCAAGGCCCACTGATTTTCAATTGGACTTGTGTTTCCAAATCCCACAGATAATTCTGAACAACTTCACTCTACTATACATCTAATTCAACTATTATTAAGAAGACAAGAAGGCAAGGACAGGAGGACATTGGAAGGGAAATGGGATGAAACATCAGAATCACAGAAGCAAGATCTACTGGACCACAGAGCTTTTTGCAGGCACCATGTTGTATGCATTGCATGCTCCTCTCCATCCACTGTCCATTTGCATAGAAATTTAAATTTTGATACTTTAGAAATAAGTCCTGTGTAAATATTATACATGTAAAACCTTAAACACATGCAAAATAACGGCTTATAAAGCAAAAAAACCCCCAAACCATTGTCTCAGTGCCTTCAAGGGTCTCCTATGTATTTCTGGCTCTGAAGGGGTTTTCTGCATGTCTCCTGTTTATGCAGGGAAGCTACCGTTCATGCAATCCCCTCTGCCCAGCACCAATAAAGATGGAAAAAGACATGCAGTCACTGCCTGGTTGACTGCTCCCATGTTAGCACCAGGCAGTTGCAAGGATGATGCTGAATCCTAGCCATAGAGTTGCAACCACAGTCATATGAGAGTCATACCTTTCCCAGGGCATCTTCCTCATATTAGCCTTTGGCTGCTCATTCCTGACTTGTCCTTCACTCTTCTCACTGGTTCTCTAGGCAATGTTACTGCATTAGCACTAACTGAATGCTTTGGTGGCATTTCTGAGATCTGCTTCACTTAAGACTACCATGTAAGAAACCACAGGGTAACTGCATAGGCAAAAACCGTTATATACTCACATATATATGCACATTTAAGAATACGGAACATGGTATGTACCGACGTACATACATGCACATATGATACCAGTCTTTCCAAGGACCTGATGTGATAACTGGATACAGGAACTGGACTGACCTTAAAGCAAACTGCATCAACATGAGACAGAGGGACATTGCCTGGTAGAATGGAAAACCTGGAATAGACACCTACAACCCATCTAGCACACAGTGGGACTGCTAGCTGGCACACCTCAAAGAAAGCCTCAGATTACCAACAAACCATTTAAAGCTAAGAGACTCTGGGTCTTTTCCATTGCCCATAATTTTTGAGATAGGGGGATGCAAGCACTCCAGCATCACTCACAGCAAGGAGGAGCATACGATTAGCAGAAACAAAACTGCGATTAGGAATAGGCAGTAATAGGCATCTGCATGAAACATGCCCTCAGCATGAAGTCCTGCTGTCTGCTTGGATGCATGGGGCCAAGCATTCATTCAGCTACAAAATTTTGGCACTGGATCTGTGAAATGATCACAACTACAACAAAAGCCCCAACACAGTGGGTCACATGCACTGATGCTGGGCTGGCCCCAGCAGAGCTGGGCAGGCAGAGAAGGGGAAAAGCAACATGAGCTCCTTGGGTTACTCCAGGGAAGGGGAGCAGGCACTTAGACTTACCTTGGGGAGAAGGGGACACCTATGCCAAGGGGAGAGGAGGAAAAAAAAAGTCTGCAAAGGTTGTGCAAATGCAGGGGAATGGATCGAGACAAGGTGCAGAAGAAAAGGAGGGAGGCTGACAGGCAGTCCTGGGAAACAGGAAGAGACAACACAGGTTGCATTTGATAAACAGCCAGGCTATCTATCCATGCAGGGCATGATTTCAGCAGCAGAGATCACCACACTCTGAATGCAAAACCTATGAGAGTGGCAATGAGGCTCAGTTATTTGCATGTCAGTACTCATTGCCTTGCTCTAGCAGTGGCAGTGCCATTTCCCCAAGGTGGGGTCCTGCCTAATTAACTCAAAACCTAAGGATTAGGTGTACACATTGATCCTGGGAGGAAGGGTCATTTAAAAGCATGTTTTGGTATTCACAACCCTTGGGTGAAAATGGGTGGTTCTTCATCATACTGCCTCCCCTTAAACTGTATAAACTAGAATGTTATTAGCGATTCCCACTTCTGGCAGCCCCAGATTTTTCTGTTTCAAGTTGTCAAAAGTTACAGCCATTTTCCACAGAAGTACTTTTCTGGATTGAGGCATATAACTCAGTTCTCCTCTTAAAAAAGCACAAGTGTTTCAATTCATTCTTCTACCAAATGCACATACACAAGACTGCTTCTGTTTGCCTTTTCAGAGCAAATGCCCTTATCACTTCCTCAGGTGTGGAGTACTTAACCTATAAATAAGCTTTCTAACATTATCCTTTTTACTATCCTCATCTACTGGTTCTTTGACCCTGGAGAGAGAGGAGAGAGAAATGGGGAACGTACCATTGCTAGCATTCAGTGATCCAAGCAAAAGCATGCGTTGATGCACAATGGTCCGTGTTTTATTGCCCAGGGACCTACTCAATGAGCCAGTGTGAATCAGTTGGCTCTGGCTGTCCCTCTTTCTCAAGCTAGGTAACACATACAGCAGCACATCACATTAGCATATGAAATAAGGCTCTGGGACCCCCAGAGCCTCATTAAAAAAAGTTCTGACAAGACACACTGAAGTGAAATGGCAGTAAGTGGACTGCAAACAGCAAGCAACAGTTGGGTGTTGCTACCAGCGTGCTGCAAAACCTGTCTGTTGCAATCACTTGCGCCCTTTACATACTCACTTCCTTAAACTACCCAGAGAAACAAGCCATTTACACGTTGACTGGGGCTAAACTGCACTTCTTCCTTTCTTGACCTTCAGATGCTTTAAATAACACACACAACTATTTTTTTGTCCTTTCCTCCCCAACTGAATACCATGAAAATCTGCTGTTTCAGGTTAACAGTGCTGGTTCACAATGTAAATCTTACTGGCAGATAAAAGTATCTAAATATTGTGGCTTTGCGATGTATTTTGAGGAAAGGAAAAACACCCACTTGTTTATGAAATAATCCATTTCTGCATGTGCATTGCTCGTCATATTTATCGGAAATGCTGTGAGTCAATAGCCTCCTGATGGAAGACTCATTCTCTAGTTTATTGCCATTGTACAAGCCATAGATTTCCTATACCTTTTCTATATCATGTACAGCAAAACCATAAGGATCCTGACACTTGCTTTATCTCCCACTGAGCTGGAGACACTCAGACAAAGAGTTAATGCAGTTCAGCAGCACACCTGAATTTCAACTCATTTACTTCTGTTGTGGATTTGTCCCAGTTTCTCTACCTAGAAAGCAGATGTCTTCATTGCACAGCTCAGTGTTTTTCAATAAATGTATCAGAGGGAAAGAAAGTGAGACTTTAAATATTCTTAAGGCATCATGTCTTATTTAAAAACGAGTTGCAGATTGGCAGGCAGCTCATAAAATATTTATGGAGCAGATTATAAAAGTGAAATTGTAAAATGATCCCTATATAGGTTTATAAAATATAAAACAGACAGGTAGAAAGATGAAGAATCCAGCTGGGAAACCAGTGACCACTTCCTTGAATGGCAGAAGCCAATTGACAGAGAAAAATCTGTCAAGAAATGAGGCAGGAAGATGCTTTTTTCTCCATGGACTGATGAAGATACTCTGTGTCTGTCCCTATGCTTTGGGGTGCCCTTACTGGGTGGAGTGTGGTCCCTCAGCCACCCAAAACATTCCCAAAAACCACAGAATACCCACGGGAAGTGGTTGATTCTTCTTAACTGGGGCCACCACACTGGTCACAACCCACATAGGACACAGTCAGAGAACTGTGGAGCTGGGCCTTGGCCATCCAAGCCCTAGTAAGTGATGTGGGAGAGTCTTTATATATTTCTTCTATAGGCATAGGCCAAAGCATTTCAGCACACAGCCAAGCTGTTATTGGAAATGCACTTAAGACATCCCCGATGAGGAAAGGGACCTCACCTTGCTAGATGCACTCAGTACCATTGAAAGGCTTGTGTCCTGAAGCAGCATGCAATCTCCCATCCCAGTCCTGCAGAGAATCATTCATGTTTTAATCTCTTAAATATGAGATAAATGAACTCTGTGCATTTCTCTGAAACAGAGAGAAAATGCCAGTTGCTTTTCAGGGGCCAGACCTCCACTCAGAAGCACATCTTTTACAATAAATCAACTTTGACGAATGCATCAAACTCATCTTAAGCTGTCATTTTACCAGAGGTTTGTGAGAACTGCAGGATTGTTGTTTACAAGGGGTTAATGCTCATTTCATGCCATTGATTCCAAGATGTTAAAGTAATAAGGCTGCATACGTGTTTCAGGGCAGGACCGTGCTCCACCCAGAGGAACAAACAAAAATGGATCCGTCCATCTGGCCAAGATCCTGTCGCCTCAGCTCTGGGTCTGGAGACAATAGCTTGTTTAGCAAACAGCTTTAGCCTGGATAAACAACACCGATACTAAGAGACAGAGGCAAGAGTCTACCTCTAGCAATGCTGGTCTATGTTCAGCATTCACCTTTTCTGCTTGCAATTCAGTATTCAGTATCACAAAACCAGGGAAGGTGTAAAGGGACTGGTGTAAAATGAATAGCTTTTATACTGGAAGTTGTTTCCCATTTTTCTGTTCACTTTCCTCCTGCATTTTTAAATGTCTATAAGGAGTTACTTCCATCGTACTGGACCAACCTTTCACCTGGAGTAACTTGGAGCAACCCATGCAGGCTGGGAATATGACTCATTCAAGTCCTTCATCTACTCTCAAAGTCCTATAATTTGGAGAATGGGCTCAAAAGAGCAGGAAAAGGTCTTGAGGTGACAAGCTAAGACATTCATCTCAGTTCAAAGGTACACTAGACAACTGGCCTGAGGTAGGGTCCCTCCAAAACCACTGCAGGCTCACTGGCCTTCGCAGCAGCTTTCCCCAGCCACTGCTGTCCCCCTCTACACAATACTACCCTGCCTTGACCTCTGATTAACTTGGATGCCTTACAAAGGAAGTTTCACTGTTCCAGCAGTGGTATTTTTAGCCTTTAGTCTTTCCCTGCCTTCACACTGAATCACTCCTCACCTTCCTAAACCACCACCAGAACAATTGAAAATAAACAAGATACCATTTCCCCTTCTTGCAGGAAGCTCCCTCTGAAGCGATCTCCATAAATCTTGCTAAAGAGGTTGTTGTGCCTTCCCACAGCACAGCTGACAGCATCCGTGCCTTGTAGTCACTTCTCCCATTTTCCCCTCCCAGCCTGCTGCCACATTAGTTTCTGCAGCTTAGGAGGAAACTTGTAGAGAGTGTTTTCCACGTCAGCCAACTTTCTCTTTGTAGCCATTCAGTCCATTGCTGGTCTAAGAAGTATTTTCCATTGCTGCCACTCTCTGGTTGGAAGTCTTGCTGAGCACATTTGAAGCATGACTTCCACTGAGGGACTGCTTGTGCACTAGCGGCACAGGCACAACAGACAACAGAAGTACAGGGAGGTTTTCTTGTAGCACAACTGGTGCTTGCAGGAATGACCACACGTACCAGAAGAATAGTTTGCAGCCTAACACTTTGAGCTGAGCTTCCTTGCTTATTAAAGCTGCTCTTAAGCAATCAAAAGTCACGAAGAAAACAATTTAAAAATGCTCAAACAGGCAGGAAAAAGAAACCCAAACTCCTCCTCTTTTAGGCCTTTGAGATTTGCATTTGCAAACTCCTGCCTGGTTCAGGCCTCTGATGGAGCTAAAATACAGCATTAGAGAACCCAAAGGTCCTATCACTAAAGCACTAAGATCTACCGTCATGACTGCTGTGCCTCACAGCTAGGGACTGCACCATCACCCAGCTCCCACATATAAAGCCTCAGCATCCCTCAGAAAACACAGTAGAAGAGTTTCACACCTCTCACCCAGCTATGCTGCAAACCCTTCACAATTTAACAGCACATATGGGATATTTCAATGCTTCTGTGGTCTCAAGCAGCTATCTGATGGGGATGGCGATTGCATGAGTCTTCTTAAGGCTTAAGAAGATCTTTGCCTGCACAGATTGCGCTCATTGAAAGACCTAAAATATATTCCTTTCAGGAAGCAACCCAACTCACGTCCAGTCACACCAACAGAAGTTAAAATTACTCTTCTTTTGATTAGTTAGTAAAGAGGGGAGAGTACAAGAGAGCAGGATCTGGTGAGACAGCTCAGATGGTGGCAGAACAGGGCAGCATGCAGCACGGATATGCAGCTCTCGATGCTCGCAGGGATATGTCCAATACTACTGAAGCGTATCATTGGCAAATAGCATCATGTCATTGCCATGTAGGTCATACATCGACACATGTGTCGATGACAAGGTGTTTGTTTCACTGACATGCATGTTACATGCCACTACCTTTCCACTCCCACCTGCCTCCCACCTCCTTTCTGAGGGCACATTACCTCCCCCAGCCCCTTTTGGTGACAAGAAACAGAAGAATGTTTCCAGCTTATATGATGTTTTATTATGACACATGACATTGCTGGTGTGGTGTCTGGATCAAGAACAGCTTAACACATTAGTTTGGTGGGTTTTTTCCCCTTGAGACCCCTGCTCTTGCTGGAGACACACTCTGCTTCAGGTCACGCTATTTCCAGTTGTTGAGATAGACAAACTGGGTGCAGAGATCGGAAGAGAAAGCGATTTCCAGGCCAATACAAGAAAGGCACGGAAAGGCAGACCATGCACAGAAAACATGGAGGGAGGACACGAAATAGGAGCCAGCATGGGTGGGAACACTGACCATGTTAGGTTTGGATAGGCAACAGCACGCAGAGAAGAAGCCCACCCACAGCCATGATCGCAGCAACTGAAAAGCAAACAAAAAGGCCCAGGATAAGGAATAATCCCACTGCCCTGGCAAGGTGAAAGTACATTTTGCAACATTTCTATATGAACTTCTTCCATCTTACTGCAATTATTATTTGGACCTTAACACCCTGGGCTGCAAGAATCTCATGGCATGTGCTACTGATGGGGGAAAACGGCTTGGGGAGAGTGCATGGATCTTGGTCCTGCAACAATTAACCATGTGCTTCCTGTACTTGAGTACAACTGTTAGGATTAATGGGGCCACCCATGTGCTTAAACTTAAGCATCTGCCTTGGAGTGGGCAAGGGGACTTTTTCCACAGGTGTGTGTGTGGTATAGTACAATTTCCTTTAACAAAAAAAAAAACAGTGCATGAATGCAAGCCCTGCTTTCGCATACCCTTATGCATGTACTCAACTACACAGCTCTTTCTGGATCTCCTTGTATCAGTGAAGCTTTTTGCATGTGCGTTATATATCTGAAGAAGCAGGACAGGCTGTGTGTGAGCATTCAGTCTAAAACTCAAAATACAGTGAGCAGAAAGGTACTGTGTGCATCCACAGCTTGCTTTTGAAGGCTGCTGAGCCCTTACTCTAGTCCAGTCAGAGTGTGAGTTCATCTGGCATCAGTCCACAACCCAAGGTTGGCTTCACCTCAGTAACTGACCTTTATCCTTGTCACAGAACTTGCATGGACAGTTTTTTAAGTTACCAAGTCTATTAAGGTAATTCATCCTGAAAAAGAACACACTGCAGAAAAAACAACAGGAAGAACTTCAGTACAACATACAAGCAGCAGCCCAATGGTGCAGACATACTCTGGTTGGAGTCAGCTGAAGATCTCACTCATCACTTCTCAAATCATCATAACATTTCATTCTTGAAAAAAAATTGTGCCCATCAGATTTTTATAAAGTGTAACTTGCAGTGCCAGAACACGTTAAAATAGCCTATTTAGACAAAATTAACACTCTGCGACTGCACTGCCTTGAATTATGTTTCAAAATAACTTCAGGCATGCGATGGTTTACCGAATTACATACTCGATTATGTGCTTACTTAAATTAGAACTGGTGCAGAATGTCTCTCTAAGCTCCTTTTGCACCAGCAAAACAACATGCTAATTTTCTAAACAACGTGCCAATATTTTTTTACTGTAATTGACAATATTTTGTATTTTCATAATGCCTTAGCTTGTGCAGTCATACTAATAGGGGACCAGCTCAGCTTCACAAACCTCTCCATTGATTCAAGTTAATACCAGAGATCCAAAACTCAAAAGCACACAAAGGGAACTCAGCCATTATGTATTTGGAGTCAGTTTTACATTTTCCGGGTTTGACCTTGCAGGATTTGAGCACAGGGAACTGGCAGTCTCCAGAAGATCACTATGGCTCTGGCAACTGAGCTTACATTTTAGCTAGGAGGCCCTTTCCCCCAGGCATTTTCTAACGGTTGCTGTCACCAGACCTTCCCACACTACCCAGCAAGAAAAGTCAAGGGTTTTGAAACCATAGTTCAATTAACCTGAAAAGCAACCACCCTGATAAAATGCAAAGAGCTCACTGTTTTTTTTTACACAAAGAAAACTCTTTGAGCACCTCATCAGTAACTGGGCTGGTCTGAGACAAAATCAGTTCTCTGCACTAAACGCAAAACAGTTCAGATCTCACTTGCTCCCTTTACAGGGAGGAAAAAAAATGCTCAAGTGTAACGGAAATACGTCAAATGCAACCTCATGCCTGCGCAGCCGTCACATAATGCTCTGCACTTAGGGTGAAAACACTCTGAGGTGTAACATTAGGGGAAATCTAAAGCTGTTAGAAGCAAACTAAACTGGATCAGCAGACAACAAAATTCACTTTCCAATCCCAGAAGCGCTTGGCTAAGTAAGTGAATGGACTACTTGGCTGGCACAGTTACGACAAAGGAAAATTTATTACTGCCTGTGTTAAAAGGACAGCTTGATTTGGCAGACATATGTCAGAATATATAAAATCCTGAGGCAAACAAAACTGGGTATTAAACCGCAGCAAACCTGCCGTGCCCTCATGGCCACCACATCTGGGTGCTGATGGCTCCTGGTAGGGACCGAGTTTCCCAGTCTTCTCACTGCACACAGGTCTTGGTTTAGAAACTAAGAAGATGAGAGCAAATGCTTTCCCAGATGAGATCAAATGCTGTGGCAGGATAAGAGATTGCTGCTTAATGAAATACACTCAGACCTTTCTGGGGTTTTAAGATCTTTGACTGGCAAGCTGACCTGTATCAGGGAGCAGTCAGAGTTGAACCAAGCACTGTATACATCAAAATTATCTGCAAAGTCTCCTCCAGCATCATTGAATTGACCAGGAGACTACAAGGAGAGCTTGTGGGGACTGCCTCTGGCCCCAGTGGGTGGTCAGGAGCCCCTCCAATCTGCTGCAGGTTAACAGATGACACATCCAGGCAGCATGCACCAGTTAAGGTCATTGAGAAAACATCTACAGTGTTAAATCGCCTTTGTCAGGAAAGAATGAGGTGCTGAGGTGGCAGTGTCTCCAAAAGCCAAGCTGGCTTGAAACAAAATGTGACTCCTGCTTTGAGGCCTGGCTTCAAGGAAAGGGCTGCAAGGTGGGCAAAGACAATGTAGAGGAGCCTGGAGCTGCAGCTGCACCTTCTGGACCTCTGCGGCTGGCTGGCACTGCCCCACTTTTTGGCTAGATGAACTCTACCTCTTCCAGCTATCTCATGCACACAAAGCTGATACAGTTCTAGCAAAGGTGACCCTCACAATGCCTATGTGGTTTGCAAGCCCAACTGTCCAGAGAGCAAACTTTAATAAACCTGTGCTAGGAGGACTTATCAACACCCTTGGCATCATTTCAAACCCTGGGCTACATACTTTGTTAATGAAATGTATATATCTGATGAGCACCAACAACTGTGCCTGCAATCAATGTAATTAATTTACCTCAAGTCTGCAGATGACCCAGACAGTATTTGGAATTAAACTACAGTTCTAGTGGCTAGATAGATCTCAGAGAGGCTCTACCTTATGTAGCTGTGGCTTTTAAGAGTTATAAGACTCAGAGTCATGATAAATGAAAACCTCGTTTGTTGTTTTTAATAAGCTGCTCTAATGGGATGTTCTTCAGAGGCTTGTAATTAGAGACTGAAATACTTGAGGATGCCTGGGAAGATTTTTCTAATCCTTCATACAGCCTTAAGCAATGCAATGATTGCTTCCTGCATCTCCAGGTGAGGAGGCCAGCACTACACCTAGCACCTTGTGAGTAAACATGCTTGCTTGAAACATCAGAGCAGCAACATTTCACACTGTGAGCTGGCAGAAATATATTTCTACTTTGCCCAGAACTATACAAATGTTTAAGAAGTCATCTCATTGTCCTGCTGAGCTATACCTAGTTCACAGGTTAAATCATGCCTACACACTGTTGAAGAATAACTGCCCAAGCAGACGATATCTATGCAAACACTACGGGGAAGGAAATGCCCTTGGAAAGACCTCTGGCATTATGTACACAAGGGGCTGTCACCAGTGCTCAGCAGGAGCCTAGAGCTGCCACCACTGAAGTCAGGCTCCATTTTCAGCTTGAAGGGCCACCCAGTTCCCTTCTTAATGTGGAAATGAGATTTGCACAATGCCATCAAATGTATTATCTGAATGAAGGTGAGGAGCTTTCATCACTGACTGCTGCATTGCCCCATATTTCCCCTGCTCAGACAAAGCTTATGCCACCTTCTTGTCTGTTCATGACGATCCTGTTCCATTCCCTTGGCTGCTGCCAGAATAACTCAGAAACGATCCTTTCAAGGGCAATGCCTCATGGGCTTACAGACTTGTTCAACTCTCACCTGTCTGGGCCAAAGTAATCTGAAGGCAGATTAGCCTGGGTCCTTAAACCCTCCTTGAAACTGCAGCAGCTCAGACTGGCTTGTGGCACCCAGTGTGTTTGCACAGATGTACTAAGCCAAAAAGTGCTTAGAATAAACAAGAAAAAGGTGTTGGAGCAGCCAAATTTGCCAAGACAAGCTAGGCAAGATGCTGAGATGGGAAATATGGGCAGCATATTTCCACACCAGCCCTTGGAGGGCATCACCCTGTGCAGAAGGGTGCATTGGAGCACTTTTTTTTTGCTGGCGAAGGATCCTTCATACCAATGGTGCTAACACTCATCCCTGAGAAAACATACTGCCAAAGAGCAACGAGGCTGCTAACGTGACAGCGGTAGTAAAACCTTGACCCAAACAGAAGCAGGACCAGACCCTCCTGCTCTTGGTGGATGGAAATTTTGACTTGGCAGAGCAATATCTTCTCTAATAAAATCCTCTTGTCAGGTGAATCACGGGGAGTATTTGGCAGTAGGCGGCATCATAAAGTGGCTATAAATCACAGGAGACAATGTCCTGTAGGAAGAAGGAAGAGCAGGAAAGAACGTAGATAAAAATCCTTTAAAAAATCACAACTAACAAAAACTGTGACTCATGCTGGAAAAATTCTCTATGAGAAACATTATCTACAAACTGTCTCCTGTTTCCTATGGAAATATCAAAAAAGCAAACTATTTTAAGCCTTGACATATCTTGGAAAATAGGATGGGGGCAGGTTGTGGAAAAATTCATCCATTTTGACCTTCCACATCACAGATGGTTGCAAACTCTGGCTCAGGACCTAGGATATAAGCCATAATCCTTTCATCCTCTCTACTCCCTGAAAGTCACTTTTAACAAGATGCACATATTTGTGTCCAGAAAGTAGCCCTTTGCCACCACAGGGGCTGATATTTAAAAGTCTAAATCAGCTAAGGTCAAGGATGGATACTCCGGTGCAGAAGTCTCTAATTGCCAATACCCAGATGGCAAGATTTGTCTTTGCTTTGTCTTTCGAAGACTGGTTCCTCGCCAGAAAGAGACCTTCTGTATATGCACGACACAGGGTGAGGGGCATTTTTTTGTTGCTTCAAATCTGTTTTTTTTCTTAAGTTCTATGAAAATCTCCCTCTGGTTCATTGGAAGATCACTCAAGATGGAAAGGTCATCTATAATGGGTTTAAATGCAGATGCACAGTACACTTAGTTATTTTGAGTAGCTTTTCCAAACATGTACAAGCATTGACCTAATAGCACCCACATTTTACTCTGTCAAAGCCCATGCCTTTGTTTAGTGGTACAAAGTTCAAATGCTTAGAGGACCAGCAGTCTCTTAACACTCACCCTAATACCCTGTCAGTTTTGTAAAGAGGGTTTGGTTTGAAGGACAAAGGTGAACTGTTCTAGGGCAGTGGGTCTCCTTCCCATGCTGATGCAAACCTGGTTTCCTACTTCAGTTTGTAGGAAGAAAGGGGCTGATGCCACAATGACAACTGTGGCACCTTATTGTTCCTTGCAAGACGGAGAGCAAAGATCTCTGTGACTGGCATTGTCTGATACAGACTGTAAAACAGAAGTCTGTAATGATTTTAGATTAATATATACTTCAATCAGGAGCAATGATATCAAGCAGCATCTAATTCAAACATTGTTATGAAAGCAGAACTTATAGCCTTGCTCTATCTGTAAAATGCATTGCACTTTTGAGAACACATAATCCTAACAAAACAAAGATAATAACAACTTTGTGTTCTTTAATTCAATGCTTGTAGCTGGTTTAATAATAGATTTTCAATCCATTTCTCTTTTTTTGCTGAGACAACTACAGTCTGATTTAGTGAATCTTTTTGATTTGTAATCCTCATCGTTATATTATTAATATGCCCTTGATGCAAAGAGCAGGATAACTTAAAAAAGTGATCAGCTATTTTTGTTGGCATTTATGACCTTGGTCAGAGGATGCATTATTTACAGGAAGAGTTTTCTGGAACATCTGCAAGTAAATCAGCTCTGAAACGCTGTTTAATTGTTTAGGGCAAAGCACACTTAGTTTCACATTCCCAGGAACCTCCTGCTACAGACATAGTGTGTTTCCACAGATGGACACTGGCATGTGGAAATGCCACTGTGACTACTGTTCAGCTGACCTTTGGTTTAGGGCCAGCTGCCAAGGGGAAATGCCAAGCTGTTACTTACATTCGTTCAAAAGAAGCGAGAAAACCGTAGAGATACTTGAAAGCAAAAAAAGGGGAAGAGGTGTAAAAACTTCTGCCTCTGGGAACCTAGGAGAAAATAAAACCCCTGCAGAGCTCAGCAAAATCCTGAGTCCTACAGCTGGGAAGATACTTTCCAAGGTGCCAAGAACTGAAGGACGTCTCCTCACTGCAGGACTGGTCTCAAGGCCCTGCTCACTTCAGCCTGACATTTGGGAGGATAGGTACAAAGAGATGCCATACAGAATCCTAGGGAGGAATACCCTAATTCTGAGGTGTCCAGGGCCTCCCAAGCATATAGCCAGCAACAAGGAGACTGCTAGCATGAGCTGGCCAGGCTATGTCCTCAGTGCTGCAGAGCAAGAGGGTTTTTCTCCTTAGTTTTGCTACTGGACTGTACCTGCTTTCCTATGTTAGCAGGAAAGACACAGCTTGGGCTTTGCACAGCTTCCTTGGCATGGAAAGCAGTGGTGGTTCTAGCTGCAGCGACTCCTGGAGTTGAGAATGTCTGGTTTTATAAAAGCAAGTATGGGAAAGAATAGGAAAGGAAATTTAGCTCTCTGGAACCAGGCACTGGAACAACATAACCACTCCAAAGATACAGGGAAGCGTCTTCCAGAAACAGGTTAATAGCTTCAGAAAGGGATTAGCCCATGACTTGGAATGTGTTTATCATCCCCGCAGAGTCACAGCAGGAGAGTGACCATTCGCTCCATGAATTGTCTCAAAATTACATCCAAGGCAAAGTGGCGTGAGTGACTCGCTTCCAAACAGGAGCAATTTTTTTGTTTTGCTTTGTTTAATTTCAAATTGGCTGTCAGCTTTCTGGCTTCTAGGGTTTATTTTTCTGGTCTCACAAGTCACTCCACACATTAGATGAGCTTTAAAATTCATGGGAACTCAAGCCAGTTCTCTAATGATGGACCAAACCTTGACACTGGAAGTTTCTACACTACCTCCAGCTGAGGGATGAGGCTCTTCCGAGTTTAGGGGAAGGGCTGAAAAGATAAAAATAGATCAAGAGCTCAGCTCCCTCTGCCTGCACCTTCCCATATGTCCAGTGTGGCACCATGGAGAATCTCCATGGGGTCCATGGAGAGAGGTGTGAGTACCAGGTAGGCGAATTAAGGCAGCAGCAAAGGCAGTGGTAAAACTCTAGCCAGAGAAGACAAGGGCTTTTAAAAGCATGTCAAGAGATAAAGAGCCAAGAGGAAGCACATTCTGGAAAGCCCATTACAGCAAAGAACAGAAAGAGATAACTAACAAGAGTTGGTGACAAATGGCTCAGGCTTTGAAACTGTTTGTTCAGACCAGAAAGGGAAGCAGCAAAGAGGAGACCTGCAAAGGGATGTCTTCAACTTTGGGTCCCAAGCACTTGTCAGTGACTGAGGGAAGAGCAAGAACTGCTAGTTGCCATGCAGTTCCTTACGGTCACAGAGGGATACATGTCCCTCCACCTGCGATTCACCCCCTTGGACTCTTCCTTGCAGAGGTACCAGATTACATCTGTAGCTTCCCTATGGCCACATATGCATCCTCCTGTTTGCATTGATACAAGCACACATTCAGGCTGGGGAGGCCAAAGTCCACATCCCCCAGCTCTGTTTAGGGAGGGATTTGACTCAAAACATCCAGCATTTAAGGAGAGACTTGAACTCCTGCCTACAGTGTTCAGAGCCCAGACTTTCTGGCTACAGCTTTCCTGTAGCCTCTGGTGTGAATGGTCTATAGTCATTCATACCCCTCATGCCACTGCATGTTTCTTGTGCAGACAGAAGTATTTACTTTTCCATTTTTAAGCCCAGCAAGTCACTCAGAGCAGACAACAAGAGCTCAAACAGCTGAGCTGGAAGAAACTGTCAGTCTCTGACCTTAAGTAGAGATGAGTCTGGCAGCACACTTACCTTTCAAGACAGGAAATAACTCTGTCCTCCATGAATGCCTTATGCCTGGGGACACTGCTGCTCAGCCTGGCTGGATTTTACTGTGCTGCATTCACAGACCGATACGCTACTTCCTCTGGGAAATAAGACCCTCATCCAGTATGTTCAGTATCAGTGCAGTTCCTCTGTATCTTGTAACTACTCTTAACACTTAAAACATCCTGTAATTTACAGCCACCATGATAGAGCTGAGCTAAAGACAGATCTGTTTCATGAAAGCAACAGTGGGCTGATGGATACCTTAGAAGCATAAATGTTTACTTTGCACTGAAAATAAGCTCAGCCTTATGAATAGATGCACTTCATATTGTTTTACATTGCACCAGTTTACCACTGCCATTAAATAAAATTACTAATACACAAGTAGTATATGAAAAAAGTGTCTTGTGTGCCAGCTGCTATACAAATTTAGTGCTACAGTGCAAACTGATCCTGATACAAGCCAGATTTTCCCCAAATACCACTACCCCTTGTTCACCAACAAGTTCATCAACTTCCATTAGAGTTGTCAAAGATGGTATAGCCCAAACTTTCATTAATTGCCTATGTTTAAGCACATGAGAAGTCTACAGGATTGCTTTATGACTTCAAGCAGTGTGTCTCCCTCCATGGATGGGAGTTTTCTGTATAATCTGCCAGCATCGGGGTACACATTAGTGTGCTACATATGAAAAATGAAATGCAGACCTGACCAAAACTTGGGACATCTGGCCATTCAGCTGGGTTTCTTCTCTTTTTCTCTGAAAGTGTTTTCCTGAAGTCAAGTTTTGGTTGTGAGCTGAGTGTGAACATATGGGCTTCAGGATATTTTGCCTGTAATAACATGTCCTCCTTGTTGTTAAAGGAATGTGAAAACACTCCAGTGAGAATCAAGTTGAATAATTAGGGCCAGTATATCGAGAGATGAAAAATCACTGGGAAGTGAACCACATTTGTGAGCAAGTCTTTGCGCTCCTGCCTTTCCAAACAGATCAATCAGCCCACCCTCGTGCTGTGCTACAATGCTACTGCTTGACAGCTTCATGCACACGCTGCTTTCACCTAAAGTGCACTAACCAGTTGGTCAGATAAAAGTTATTACAAAAGTTGGAGAAGTATAAATACACAGTTTCTTCTCTTACCTTCCACTGAGAAGAAAACCGATAACAACAGCCAGCAGAATGACTCCCACTGTTACAGACACAACAATTATAGGAATCTGGCTCTGGTCGCTGGATGCAGCTACTGCTGAGATTAGAAACAGAAAATGGAGATTAAGGTTAAATGGTAGTCGGCACTCAGATAAGTCTTTCTGGTGAGGCTGCCAGCAAGGTTTCAAGTCTTACCAGTTCACTACTTCTTTTACAGTTTGTGTTTTCCCCCTAACTGGCTGTTTCTAGTTTGGAAAGGAAATGGATGGAAAGAAACCAAACACACATGCAAAGCCAAGCCAAAACCCCAACAAAATTGCATTTTATCATTGAATTCAGAAACAAATGCACTGCAGAACTCATCCTTTGAGTCTGCAAACTTAAGTTTGTCTTCCTGGGTTGGCTGCATTAGAAATCACAGAGATAAAGGATGAAAACCTAACAGGTTCCCTTTTGCAGAGAGAACATTTATGGAATGTTATTGTTAAGAGACATATGCCTTACTTGTGCTTCAAGAAGCTATAAACAATTACAACCTCTTTGTGGCATCTGTATCACATGGCCAGAAGGTGCACTCTGTAATACAGGAATTTGCTAAGACACATGTAGAGGTCGGTCTTTTTATCAGCTAAGGGAAGCAGAAGTCCCCCACCCATGCCTTATAGAGAGCTTTCATGCCAAAAGGCAGAAGACAAGTCCTGTGATAAAGATACCAGCAGAAAGCTCAGGAAAGGTGTTTAAGACCTGGATTTTGTCACAGATTAAGTAAAAGCAGGTGAGCAAGCTCCTGCAGCCTGTAAAATGGAAATGCTAACATCGCTTATATCTCATTTATCTGCTTTGTACTGCAGGGCAAGGAACCCACATGCCCCAGAGGGTCCCCACGCAGAAACTGAAGTCACCTCACCCTGCTTTATCCATTGTCAACTTACTTAGCTGCATATATTTAACCACTCCAGGACACAAATGTGACTTCCTCCCTGTAAAACTAGCTCTCTGGCATAGGCACTGCTGCTGGGAGGGGAAAAACCTCATTATAGCTCTACCCTTGTGCCAACCGTGGATGAAGCTTCATCCACCCCGGGGGAGCAGCAGGTGAGCAGCAGCAATCGATTGCACATTGGGGAAGCCTTTAACTAAATGACTTAAGTAAAAATGGGTCCTTAGCACAGGATTAACTTTATGGAGGCTATAAAGTAACTGAATGTAGTGCCATATTATTTCTTAACAGAAAGATGAAAAGTCATGGCATTAAATGTTGATCTGCAATGGGTTTCAAGCAGCTCTTCATACAGGAGCTCTTCAGCACTCAGTGATGAGCAGTGTGGACCTGCTATGGCACTGTAAATGATTTCAGAAGGATTGGCCATGATACATTAAATATTTAATGTAACTGCTCCAAACTCATGCCATCATCCAGAGATTTTATTAGCCTCATGAATTTATTGAGGCTCCTTTAAGATGATGTTTTATTGCTTTCTTGACAAAATGATTAAAAAGAAAAACATTTAAAGGAGAACATTAAGCTGTGACTGGTTTTTTTTTGCACAGGTCTAGGTATGGGGAAATGAGATAAATCTTTCTGTGATCTATGGAATCTAAAAAGCCCGAATTCATAAGCTAAGCTGGGACTTCGCTGCCTTTTCAGGCTGGAGAGAAGCTGCATTACCCTCCTTGACTTGATGACATGTTCCCACTCTCGCCCAGCAGACCAGCTAGATTAGTTCACCAATCCAGCAAAAAATCATCCTTTGGCCAGGTTAGTTTTATCAGGGTTAGATGAGTTTGGTGGCATTTGAAAAGGAGGACAGCAGTAAGTGGATACACCTAGCAACAGTTTCCACCTAAATAAAAAGTAAAAATTGAAGCTGGGGCTGCATCACAGTGCTTTGCAGAATTGCACGTAATGGCACTAGTATGTAAAAAAACCCAGAATCTGGAAAAAGAGAAAAGTCCAAAACAAGTTATGGCTTCCCCCCACTGCATTTGTCAGGCTGTTGTTTCATATTTCCTGGAAACAAAATCTGTTGCTTGGTCCTAATGATTTTGGAACCTGGTTTTGCATCCCACAACAGTCACTGAAAGGTTTTCATTTGTGCTTGACTCAAAATAATTGGCTTTGGCTAAAAAGAGTTTCAGATCTGAACTCTGATGTAGTAGTGAGATTTCAGTCTCTGCATGCTTTCAGATTCCTTGGGATGTGCAGGAAAACAGTGGGAGTCTGGTCGCACACTCCAGCCACTGATACTAACTTTAGATTGGGCCTTGGAAAAAAAAAATAAAAAATTGATTCTTTTAAAAGATTTTACATGTCAAATGGAGCTACATCATGCATTATACTGAGGTTTACATTACATTTTAGTTCCACCAAGCATTTAAACATCTGGTTAAGTCCTGCTTCAGCCGGAGCTCAAGTCCAACAGAGGAAGAGTTCCCAGATCCCACACAGCAGGTATTCCTCTGACTACACTGGCAGCTCCTTAGTATTAGAGAATTACCTCCTCCTCTGTTTTTAAAATGCTAGAAAGATGGGGGTGCAAGTGTGACTAAATGACTAAAGGGGGTTTGGGTGTTTAAAGATATTAACATGTGATGTCCTCAAAACATCCTCGTTAACACAGATACTTACACAATGGGCTTTATGAAAGTGCCATTACTTTTGGACCAGGACTGTAAGTACTGACAGCACTGGATGAAATGTGCATATATTTAATATACTATAATAATAGTCTGGAACACTATTACTCAAATGGCTCTATACTAGAAACTTTCCAACTGCTAGCAAAATTCTCCTTGGGATAGTGAAGAATAATTTTTGGCATAACATGATTTTGTTGCTATTTATAAGGCACAATTAATGGTTAATAAAATAAGAAATACATTAAATGGACCATTCTTACTGCATTAATGTTTTCATCATGATGCAATTTGCACTGTATTAGTTCAATCACTTGCTCCACAGCTACATCTGCACATGTATAATGACTCCTTTAAAATCTATTACAGCTTCAAAGGTAGCATGCATTGAAAAAACAACTTGGCATCCTCTTCTCAAAGATGATGAATTTTAAATGAACTGGAATAACAGCAATCAAGGTATTGACAAATTTAAATTTCCAAGGAAAACATACAGAAAATAGGCTTTTTTCCCACAGGAATTAACCACATATTCCCACTCTTTTCTGAGGGAGAAAAATCTCTGGAAAAATCTGGTGATTGGGACAAAAAGAATTTCCCCACAGCTGTGCCAGAACACAGGAAAAAGAGCAGCTGAGCCTCTGTGTGCCTCAGAATATGCTCCAGAATTCAGACCTGGATGATCAGATTTATTTAAATACAAGAATTTTCAGTTAAAAAAGATAAAAATCAAACCCCACAAATTTCTAACAGGCCAATCCAAAGTCCTGTGCCTGCAGTGTGTGGTTTTCCTGTTTCTGATCACAAGTCAAATGCTTCGAGACTGTGGCACTGGCAACAAACAGAAACCATCTTTGAACTTGACAGAAACTTACACCAAAGGACACTAATGCTGATTCAATTCTTCCCTTGCAGAAAGACACCATTTCAGGGTTTTTACTTCAGATGCAGATATTTAAGAGATCTCAGCACACTCCACAGATCTCCATTAAGAGGTGTGGAGGAGCAGGTCCCCTCCCTCTGTCCCTCGTGAGAGGAGGACCTTTGTTCTCTTGCATCAGCTCTCATAAATGCAGAATTTTTCTAAACAGAGTGTGCTATGAATTTCTGGAACCTGAACACCTACCGAATTCACCCCCTGCCTCACTATGCAAGTTGAGGAGGCAAGGACAGATATGCCTGTCTACTGTACGGTCATAATGTGCCTGATGTTTCTAAAGTCAAGGGATGAGGCCAGGACAAGAAACAGCTCTCTACAAAGGTATTGATCCCCTGACTGATTTCTGGTAACTGTTCCAGAGACATGGGGTGACAGTAATTAAAAGGACTTACACACTGGGCTGGTTTCAAACTCAAATCTTCGGCTGAAGCCACCATAGCCAGCAGCTGTCCGGGCTCGAATCTGGAAGATGTACACTGAACCTGGTTTCAAGCCATCTGCTGTAATCGTCGTCAATTTGGATTTGATGATGGTGTAACTTGTCTCTTCATCCTTTTCCCAACCCCACCCAAAAAAACATAAAGGTCAAACACATAAATAGTATCTCTCAGAGAAAACAGACTCTTAACAACCCTCACAGCAATGTTACAAAGGATGACCAAAATATGCATTTTTGAGAGGATCTCTCTTCCTCCCCCACAAAGGCCCTTTCTGCAGTACAAAATGACTTGCTCCTTTTTAATCAATGGCTCTAGAAGGAAACAAAGCAGAAGGGCTTTCAACCCACAAATAACAATACAGGGACCAAACCAACATCTGCAGTCGAAGCAGATTTCTATTTCTTGAGATGAACATGGCCTAGAGCAATGGAAAAGCTCATCCTACAAAATCAATCTCAAGGCATGGGGAAGAGGAAAAATGTCCCATTGCCTTAGAGAGAGATTTTAATTTGTAGCAAAATGACTTCCCAGTAATGGAATTAGACCTAAATAGAGAACAGTATATTATATATTTTACAAGTTTATGCTGGCATTTCTAGAACCATGAATTAGACCTTGGAAAAGGAATAATAAACCAAAACTCCAGGAAAATATCTAATTTTGCATTGTTCTTCTGAAGCAACAAACTTGAAGAAAAATTGCTGAAATAAATCTTCATTTACATCAGTTCCTAATGCGAAAGTGTTTCAGTTCTCTGATTAAAATTTCACTCAAATGCTGGGTAATTACTCCTAGAGTTATTTACTGTAACACATAATCTAGACAAGAGCTCATAAATTCACATCTACAAACTTGGAAACTGCTTTTTATTCACCATATCTTCTCAGATCCAAATTATTCTGAGGTAAACAGGAGATCTTAGTAATTCCCTACCAAGATTTCCACATAGCTCTGAACTGATTTTATTTTTTCCTCTTGAATTTAAAGGACAACTTTCCATAGACAATAATATGCCTGGGTAAGGCCCTGGGAATTTCATTGAAGCCTGTAGCTACACAAGACTGATTTGTAGAAATGTGTATATGTGTGTGTGTCTATGTATATATATATGTAGGGTTTTTTTTCTTGTTAAGGAGTGAGTTCTCTTAAAGGAATGTGATCTGACAAAACCTAATTTTCCAAAACACTTAATATAGATCATTCTAATCCCTTGGAAATGAATGCTGCAAATTTACCCTTATAAAGGGCTGAAAACCAAGAGGATATAAAAGACAGTAGCAACAGAAAAAGAAGAATTAAGGATGACATCCCAAATCTAACCCAATGACTGGTTAAAAAGCAATAAGTGAATATTAGGTCACATCTTTGCTTGTGTGTCAGCCCAATTAGGTTTTCAATACACTGCTGGCTTCTGCAAACACTTAAACACTTGAGCATTCCTACAGAACACATTAAGCTTTGCTATCAGTCTGCGAGAAATAAATCAAGACAGCATAAACCCGGACTGGCTGTAGCTACCTCCCTGTGAAAGACTTGCACTTGAAGAACTATTTACTGAAGATATTTCAGACTAGTTCTGAACCACAAATACATTTTAAGCCCCTCTTCCCCCAGTTTTTTTGTGAACAAAGTCAAATGACCCAATATATGGTGGTGGTGGTGGGTTTTTTTGTTTTAATTATTTGGTCATTATCAACGTTTCTAGAGGCTAATTTTCCCAGGCCACTTCATGGGAAGGATTCAATATGCCACAATGGTTGTTCATACAAGCTATTAAAAGAACCTGTAATGGATTATTTCCAGCAATAGTATATCCTGATTCTTGCTTTGTGCTTCTTTTTGAAAACTCAGCCCTATTTAAGCCACTCACACATCTTGTGCACTTGCCCAAGATCCCTCAGCTGCAAAAATGATGTTGATTTCATCCTGATGCAAAAGACTTCTGAAATTCTTTCCCTGCTTCAGCAGGTCCCTCCTGTGATCACAGCAAGGACAGAGGAATAAGGACCCAGTCCTCGTCCATGTTAAGTGGTTTCACCTGGATCACAGACAGAACTAAGGGAAGATCTTCCTTAAAATAGAAATTCAGCCACTCCTCTCTGTCCCCACGTGAACTGTGACTCAATTTAATTATTTGCCTCTTGTTTTCAAGTAGAAGGTCTGGCTGTTCCAAAATTAAAAAGAACACCTTACAATCCCAGCTAAGGCAAGATACTGCTATTCAGTCAACTCTTGCAAACCTGATTTTTGGAAAGGGAACATTTCAAAGACGTAATGCTCCATCACTCATGTTACTTAGAGAAAGTGCATCTGTACTGTTTGCATTTAATCTCCATTAATTTTGTAGGAAGGGAGCAAGTCACCATTTGAACTGAAGACTAGGACAGGCGTGTTTTGTAGGAAGAGAAAGTATTTCCCATTAGACCAAGAACAAGATCTGGAAAGCTTGGCAAGCTTTTAAGCCAGGATACTCTTTTTCACGTCAGAGCAGATACAATCTCTCCACAAGACCTCTTTCTTCTTACACTGTGGGTGTAAAATGAAGTGAGAAAGTGAAATAGTAAAGGCAAGGATAGCCTGATGATTCTGGGAGGAGATAGACACTGAATTCCCAACTCTCCTTTTTTTAACAAATGACCAGGTTCTATCTTAATGTGATAAGGCTGGCTGGTGAGGAATCTGACATGCAGATTTAATGTATTTGATCAACAGCAGTGACACACTAATGGGAAACAACACTCTCATTTCAAGTCTTCCTAATCATTTACTGCAAAATCAATCTAACATTGATTTATGCATAAAATTTCTCTATTCCCTTCCATGACTCAAATAATTATCATTAAAATAAGAGGACAGTAAAGAGAAGGTACTTGGGATGCTCAGCAATCAGTCCGTCACACCTTTTCAAAATATTTGATTTCATATTCCAGGATGATGCCGTTGGGTCGATCCGGCTCCTGCCAGGAAAGGGAGATGCTATTTTTAGTTATCTTCCCTTTTTTCACACTACTGACTGGAGAAGGTGCTGCAAGACATCAGAAAAACAGAACAGACAACATACATGGTTAGTGAGATGGTCTGCCCCTGCTGAAGTCAAACTCATCAGTGCATCCTCAAATGCAAGGCAATCCTTAGCTACTGCAGATCAGCAGGGTTTGTTTCCACCTTGGCGGTATTTACCCATTTTTAACAATTGGACCTGCACAGATTTTCAGCAGCTGAGGATCTGACCAGCATCACCCACCCAACAAAAGTAATATGAACTACCATCAGCAGCTTACATATCAACATTGCCTTCTCAAGCACTTTCAAACACATCAACCCCACACCTTGCCTTTTCAAATGTGGCAAGGGGCTACATTATCAGAATTATGTTGATTATACATTGCTTTCTTCCACCTGCTTTGCAGGTATGTATTTTTCAGAAGACCTTAGATTAAATGGGCTCTTAACTATTCCTTTTATTTTGGCTTGTACAGTAGTAGAAGCCTAGGCATCTTTCAGACCCCTCCTTCCAGATGGAAGGAACAGGGTAGAAAGGCCATCACAACTTTTATAATTCAATTGCTCTCAATAAATATCGCTGGGGTATTATAGCTCACATAGTGATGTTAATTCCTTGCAAATGCCAACTGTAAAGATTTTAATGGTGATCATGGTCTGGAATTTCGCAGCATGCTTGGGGAAGCAGCAGCATGAAAGCAGATATACCAGCTCTGCTTATTATTTTAAGTCTCAGCCCTGAAAGGTTATCTGCCCTTTGCAGCACACACGTGCATCAGACACAGGGTTGATCCTTTGTTTTCAGTCCACTATCTGCAGGGACTTTTCAAATTGTGGTCATTGTCACCCCTGCCAGCTCCCTAGCAAAAGCTGCTATGGGCAATGCAACTCTAAAGCCCCAGGTATTTCGTGCCAGAGATTAGGAAACAACATGGAATGAAAAGGGGACTGAAGAATTTCATAGTAATTCACAGGGCCAAGACCAGCTTCTCCGGATTTAAAAACAGCTCATGCCTGGCTGAGGGCCTTTGACTCACCCTCCTGACAGGCCAGCTCTTTCCAAGGACACTGAATGCAAAGAACAGTAGCAAATGACCACATTTTATCTTCTAAAATGTATTTGGAACTTAAAAAAAAAAAAATTAAAAAAGAACTTCTCCTATACGCAGGATTAACTAATTATCATTATACTAAGAAAAAAAAAAAAGTCATTATTTAAAATAAAACCAACAAACTAATTTTGCCAGGTCTGATCTTCAGCCAAAAAGAGTAAGCGAAGAGCCAGTCAATTATTCCTAGAACAAAGGCTAGCAGCAAGTCTTCTCTTATAGCAAGATCCTGCATCTCAGCCTCTTTTTCAGCCTCAGGTTTTCTCCCTCCTGTTTACTAATCTCTCCCCTGCTTGTTTCTTGAGAGGATCCTGAAAGGTTTGGCTATTTCCATACTGTTTTCTGCTGGAGAGCTGGCATCAAGCTGCACAAACAATGCTCAGTTTTTAGCTTGGTGCATCCTACACCAAGCTCATAACTGCTCCACTGAGCAAGTAAAAACCACCTTGATTTGAATGATTATCATGTTATATATGTAGGCATTGCATGATGATCACCAACAATTTTTCATCTGCAAAAGTCAGCTTACCCTTGTCTGATGTCCTCCACAAATTCTGGGGCTATGTGAAGGCAAGTAACTATCTAGACTCAAACTGCTAATCTGGTTTAGGACTTCCCATTAAGTCATCCAGGTGCCTAAATATGTTATGAATGCATGTGTACAGCAAGCTGAGTTGTGTATGTGAGGTATATGGTCCATGCATGTGCATTTAGGCAGATGTATTAGCCCAGAAGACATAGCAAGCAGTGAACTCTGTTAAAATACCATGAACTTCCCTTCTAATGCAAAGGGAGCTAACATGGTTTCCAGAGGCATCAGAAAACAAGTCTCACCACAAGGGGTGGTGATGCCAAGTAACAGGCAATTCTAAAACCCTAGTTAAGTAGACCATATTGATCACTTCTTATCATGAGCCACTTGAATGATGTATATAGGGGATTGAGACACCAAAGTACTCAGAAGAAGGAGCCCATGGCCCCCTGGAACCATTCCCTGCAATGCCTATCCCTTGCTTTCAGAGCTGGCAGCAGAGGTCTGGAAGGATGGAAAAACTCAGCACTGAACCTTTTTGAACTCCTTGCAAACTTGATGAGTGCAGCAAGGGGAGACCTCAGCTCTCCTGGTATTGAACACCTCTCAGGAAGGTGAAAACCGTGCAATTCTCAGTCTCAAGGTTGCCTGACCAAATAATGGACTTTTCATCCACATTATTGAGGTTTCCTGAAGTGCTTATAGGACCGAGGATCACAGGTCCTTTAAAAACAACAGAATGATGCAAGTGCTCCTGAACTCTGCTACAAAATCTTTCCCTGGGAGGCTCAGAGGCGTTAGCTCTCCTTCACGTGCATCAGCACGGTACAGCACAAGATGCACCACCAGCCATCCAAAAGCACCCATCAAGACCCCTATTCCCATAAACCATGGCATCCTCTTTAAAAAGCAGTGTGTGAAAAGCTTGGCTAGTTAACAGCTTCATGGACTTAAATCCCCCGCTGTGCAAGCCTCTAACACGTTCAATCATGGCTTTGCAGAACGCTCTGCACTACCAGGAAAAGGAGGGAAGATAAGAAAATAAGTAACCCAACCCTCAAAGTAAATTAGAAAAGGAGCAACTGTATCCTTTTTGAATCTCCTTCAAAAGAAGCGTTGAAATGTAACTGTGAGATAAAGGCCAATTAAGTAAATTCAATAAATCCCAGTGGTGCCGGGATGATACGGCAACTACTCTGCATCCTCCATGCATGGAGATTACGATACTCTGAACTGACGGAAGTAAGGTATAAGTATTTTAGAATTTTCTTTGTCAAACAGAACGTAATCCAATCCAGGCAAGCGGACAAAGCCTGCAATCATTCCATCTTAAAAGCCTGCAACTGGATTCTGTGCTATATGATCTCAGAAAAATAAAAGGATTACTTGAGTCTTGCTTTTCAAAGGTCACTGCTTCTGCAAGGGCAGCATCCTCTTAATAGAAAGTAACCAAGCCATGGAGCATTTCCATTTGGAGTACAACATGTAAAAGATAAATTCACCTAAGAGTCACGATACATAAATCTCCCACGTTTCTTATGTAAGCAGGCAGAATTCTTGTTCAGATCCCTGCCTTGACACTACAAAGGGTAGATGTACAATGTGAATTGATCAACTGTTGCTGTAACAAGTAATTTGCACATATGTATTAATTTTTTAGCAAGACATTCAAAATCAGAAGGATATTACATCATTTATGCTTATGTTTCCCACTCATGAAAACAGCCATGTGCGTGACGAAAGCAAACACAAGATGTAACAAGGTGTGAAATTTCTAGCATACACTTTTGCTTTCCTGAGACCAAAATTAATTGGGACACAAAAGCACAGAAAACCGATTCTTTTTTTTTTAATTTTGTTTCAATATTTCTTAAGAAGAATAAGGGGACATAACAAATGAATATTTTGCAGAAGATGCATCATTAGTCACATCTGAATAACTATAGGAAATGATTTTATGAAGAATAGACCTTTAAGGACATTATTGCTCTGCAACCTTTGATAATGACATTAGCACTGAATTAGCCACCTAGGCAGCAAACCCAGTATTTACAACACACTGTGCTGTGTCCCACTGACATCTAATGTACAATGATGCTTACTGGAATAAAATGTTAATTGTATTTTAAGAGAAACTAATGTTATCAGGTGAATGACCACTGCACCTAGATAAAAGAAATAATTCAGTTTCTGCATTTCATGGCCTATCTAATGCTCTCTCCAGCCCAATTACTTCAGTATTTTTCACTCTGTCAGAAACAACAGCTAATGGCTCACCATCCCACCCTTAGTCCCACAGCCAGTAAAGTTCTCCACTTCTTATCAAAAAACCCAAATCAAACAAAAAACTAGTGTCCTTCACCTTTTGAGCAAAACTCAAGCCAATAGCCCAAGACCTTCAATCCAGCTTTAACTCCTGCCAGGACAGCTCCTCAGTTGGAGCAACCCAGAGTATCACAAGAAGAGATGCTGGTTTGCATGGGCAAAGGGGCTGGCACCTCTTCATCCCTTGCATCTCTAAATATCTAGGTTTCAGGCCCCTTTCCAAAGACAGCTAAGGTATCAAAGAGAAAGATCCTGCTAACCAGCTCTGTCCCAGCTGCTGTTATAGACACTTATATTATGAATGTCTATAGACACAGACATCACCTTTACAGACATCTATGCTGTGGATTTTAATGTTTTAATGCATTTTAATGCATTTGCAGTTTCTTTTACTGTACTTTTTCCTGTGTGAAAACGTTTGGGATCTAACACTTCTGACTTCTCAATACACCTTGGAGTTCCTGCCTCCATGTGATGGCACATTTCTTTTGCAGTCTGAATTTACGCCAGAAGATTTAAAAATCAAATTCATGGTTGTGATTAAATCAATACCTTCACCTGTTACCATATAACCAAATAGCTATATTATCATTAATGCACCTATAAAGCCAGGTTTAATTGAAGAAAATGAAACCTGTGTCAGAAGAGTAACCACAAGACAAGTAATACTGGTTCCACTTCAAAAGCCTGCTATACTGCAATTTTTCACTCAGTTTCTGATTAATGACATTATTGAATTTATTTTTTTTTCTCAGGCCTTTGGTGACTTCAGAGTTTGGAGCAAGACCTGCTTTATTCACCGAGTCACACTAAAGGTATGTGAAGCTGCAGATGGCTTCAAGCAGTAGATTCATTTTAAACAAGATACATACATTAGTTAAAACAGAAACACTGGAAAAAAAAAAAAAAAAAAAAAGGCTTCACTATATTATCTCTTTGCATTTTTGTTCAGAAATTATATACTTTTAGAAAAGCTCAATACCCAATGGCTCCCCTAAAGGTACATTTACTATGGATATTATGCATTGGTCAAAACTTAGCATTTTAGTCATAACT